CCATCAGAGTGTGAACGTGTGAAAGTGCAGCTTATAGAAAAGTTGTATAAATGTGTGTGTGAATAGGAGATTGAGGCTTCTAGTGTCACTAAGATTAGAAAAGCTCTTTATAAACGCAGTCTGTTTACAAAAGAGCGGTTTGATTAATATTGAAACCAAAAAAATCACATGCCATTGAGTGGCATGTGATTTTTCTGATGACACAAACTTTCATTTTGAGTGATAACTCAAAACAAAACAAAACAAAACACTGCACTTTCACTCTTCTCCTGGCACAGAGAGATAGAAGCTAATACTGTTCACTTCTATCATTATATAGAGTGGAGGTGGCTGGGAGAGCACCTCCACCTGTACCAGAGGATCAATCAGTGCATGTGAGAGCAATTAGCTGATTGAGCCTCAGGTTTAAAAGGCAGCGGGCGAGCTGCCTCAGAGACACTCAGAACTGAGACAGGGACACACAGAGAGACACTAAGAGACACTGCTGAGCTGCAAAGTGAGGTGCCAGCTGAAATAGTTTGCAAGTTTGAGTTTTGTGGAGATTTATGTTTCTTAAATTGGAAAATAAAGCGAGGTTCAAATGCTGAGAAGCAAGAAGTTCGTCTCTGGCTGTTCTGTTCAGACCCAGGTGGCAACGTCCTTTGCTATATATATTATTTTAAAAACTTGAGGGAAATAAAAGAAGAAAAGAGATGCAGAGTGTTAAATCTGTAATCCACTGATAAAAGGACAAGATTAGTCTGACTCACTGCTGTAAGAGAATTTTTTGTTGCAGTGATGACACTGTGAACCGGATCACGTAAAAGGGCTTTTATTTGAGCTCCAGTGTAATCAGGGGTAACACGAGGCCTCTTTAATCTGCTCTGCTTCATTCAAGGCTCGCTGAATGACTTATCCTGTCCATTCACGGCAAAAGCTCCCCATCAATAGCCTCTGCACAAAGAGAAAGGGATGAGTTTTCACTCCACCTCACGTGTAATACATTCCTCACAAAACAGCAGCAAAGACCACAAGGTCAACTTGAGCATGTGCATTTGCTCATAGTTATACACTATGTATTAGTTATATGATTAGCAGTAAACCTCAGCCAACGCGCTCTGCAAAACTTTGTCTTGCTCAAAGGCATTCATGTTTAAAAAGTCAAAATATACGTCAAATAAATGTTTCTCACAGATGGTTTCTGTAATTTTAGGCAGTTCATATCACACCGACTCATTTTTCTCATACATTTGGTTTTAATGAATTATTTGATGCTATAAAAGATGAAAGGTTATGGTTGACGTATTGATGAGACCTCGCTACCAAGGCTCAATCCCTCAATTGCTACAGACTCTGGCTGGAAATGGGCCTGATGGTACATTTCTGTACTTTTAAGTATCCACAGTGTCCAGGGTTTTTTGTCATTTCTTGTTTGTTAGTCTAAACTTCCCCCTCTGACAATTGCAGATTCTTCTGTAGGTTATTGCAGGTTATTTGTCAAGTTCCTTTTTCTTGTTCTGGGAACCAACATTTGAATACTGTGAGAGTGCAGGTTGTGTTGATTTTGGTTTTTCCACATGTGAGTGGAAGAACCAACAGACATACAGAGATGGCAAGTCAGCAGAATTGTCTATCTCTCCTGATAATCTGAGATCTTCACAAACTCTCCACACACCCCCCCGGTGTGGAATGACCCCAATGGGCGCTACGCTGCTGTGACTGTGTGTATTCTTGTGTCATATGGATCAATGAGTTGTTTACAGGTGTAGACTGAATGTGTCTGTACACGTATGTGCGCTGTATGTCATGGTGCATATGTAAAGAAGATTACTCTGTTTAAATGAGACTGAGACACATGACCAGCTAATCAGGTCGACAAGGACGAGCTGCTGAGTCATGTTGAAGGAGCGACAAGGCCGAAGACTCGATGCCGGGTCACCTGCTGATGATGCATCAGGGTGTAAACAAATGATTTGTAGAAGCTTTTGTTAATAATTACAAATATGGCTCACAAGAGTTTTAATTGTAGACCGACCTCAGTTGACCAACTGGGCCAAGGGTCCTCTCTGTATACAGCCCACCTTTCACCTGGCTGATTGGGAACACACACACACACACACACACACACAGGCCTGCATCAGCGTGTGTGTGTGCGTGGACTTAAGCAGCTATTTGTGGAGCTGCTGATGCCTGTTAACACCAAGCCCATGTACCATTCATACGCCTGACGCAGCAGCTCGTCTCTCCCACAGGGATTATACACACACACACACACTGCAGCAGCAGCAGCAGCATAACCGCCAGTACCACCACCAGGCCACATGCGAGGCAGTAGTTTCAAGCACCCCACAGAGTCAGACACTGAGACACCTGCAATTAAAGCAGGTGAGTGCAACAACAGATAAGATGAGAGCGAGGGAAATATAAATATGGACATTCAAATACTGCGAGGACAAGTTCTGTGATGCAAAACCACAACATAAATGGAGGGGCACAAGATTAAGGCTCAAACAAGAAAAGCATATGGAAAGGTATTTGGATGGTACAAGCATGGACAAGTATTTCTCTGAGTCTCATGTCATTAACCAGCTGTACGAAGCGTCAGATCCAGATCATCAGAAGAGGATGTGCCACGTCAGATCTGCTCTCTGAACTTCCCCACCTCTTATTTTTCCGCCCTGGAGTGTGGACACAAGTTCTGCACGAAGAGCTGGGGAGATTACCCGACCACCAAAACCATAGAGGAAGGAATGAGGACCATTTGTTGTCCTGCTCATAAAGACACTTCGGTCGATGGCAACACAGACATGCGCCTCATGACAGATTCGGAAGTGAAATTGAAGTAACAGCATTTAATTAAAAATAGTGTTGTAGAGTGCAATTGACTGCCATCACATAGTCAAAATCCCTACCCAGATGCAGCCCATGATAACCTGAGACAATGTCCACATGAAGAGACAGAGCTGAGCTTGAGCCTTAATCTTGTGTCTCTCCATCTATGTTTGTCTTCTAAGTATACATTTACAGTCAAAATGACATCTTAAATAAACAGGGGTTGGTAACATTCCCAATGAAATACTTATATAAAGGTACAGACAACAATATACCAAGGTCTCTCTCAGTGGCCTGGTGAGTGCTGAGGAAAAAGTAAACCTGTCTGGAGTCACATACGCAAGTGTAAATGTGTGAGTACGTGCGTGTGTGTGAGTGAGCATCAGTATGTGGTGAGCCTGACTGCAGTCACATAGCCACAGACCGAGCCAGGACGCTCAGTCTGCCCAGCATGATTCAGACTGGAGGAAATACCACAGTCAGTTGGCAAATGTAGAAAGTGTGAGTGTCACTGTATTACAACTGATATTAAGATTTAAATATCCCAACAATGGCTTTTACCACAGATGGTGCTGCTGTCATTAATAACATTACATTTATAAATATCTTTGTTACTTTCATTTCATTTCCTCTTGCCCCTACCTGTCTTCTCTCCCCTCTTTTCCACCCACCTCTCCTGCTAACTATCACATAACACAAAGTATCGCTGAGGCTGAAGGGTATTTCTCTAGTTTAATATGCACTGAACAAGTTTAATTTGATTTGCTGGATGAAAAGTTTGGGAATCGCCATAGTTGTAACGATTCGTCCTAAATAAAGCGAATGCCACAGTAAATCTCCCAAACAATTATACTTCCCATTCAAACATGTGTGGCTGTGTTAAGATTAGGAATGTGAGGTGTGTTTATGAAACCTTTGTGCTTTTATAACATGTTGGCAGCTAAACCTTCCTGTTCCTTAGTATCATTTCAGAAACACAACATAGATAATTGTTTTTTTTAAATTAACTGCTCAAGACTCATCTGGTTGAGTCTGGTTCTAGAAGTTTCGTCCAGTTAATGAGGGGCTTTTTTCCTTCTACTTTTGCAAAGTGCTTCCTCATTGTGGGAACTGTTGGGTAACATTGTAAGGTCTTGTGCCTTGAGATAATGTATGTTATGATTAGTGCAATACAAATAAAATGGAATTGAATTGAATCAGGGACATCAGAAAGGTGTAAATATACTTCACTAAAATGTACAGTACTCACACAACACAACAATAGAAGTAATTCAGTACCACTCGATCAGACTTTTGTATTTTAATATAAGGAGATTTAAACTCAACAAATCTGTGCCTTTTGCTGCTGCAGCTTCCTCCTACAGTGACGCTAAATTGCCTGTGTAGTTATGAATGTGTTTTTTTATTTTGTCTCTGTCGTACCCATCGTCAGCTGGGATTGAGCATTAGGCCTACTGTTATTTTTATTATTATTATAATAGTAAAATATATATGTATATGTTATATATATATTATTATTATGGTAGCAGGTCAGTACCGGATCAGCACTACTGCTGTGAAACCTGATACAGATCAGATTCTATGTCCCATGATGTCAGTGTATAAGCCTTAAACCAACAGCAAAGTCATGGGTATGACTGTGTTAAGATTAGGAATGTGAGGTGTGTTTATGAAACCTTTGTGCTTTTGTAACGTGTTGGCAGCCAAACCTTCCTGTTCCTTTGTATCATTTCAGAAACACAACATAGAGATAATTGTTCTTTTTTGTAATTAACAGCTGAGTTAGTGAGCACTCTCTGCCTATAGATAATTTTTTATCTATATGAAACTCTAGTACCTGTAAGTAATATTATGAAGAGTATGGTTTTGACCTGGACTATATGAAGAGTGCCCCGAGAGAACTTCTGTGATGAAAAACTAAATTGACTTGAATTTATCACCACTGAACTAAAAGAAAGGGTTTGGTTTTTTTTTTAGTGCCCAAGCTGATTCAAGTTCAAGGCAACATCCTGAATGCACCCAGTGAGTTTGTGACTCATGAATCTTGTGAATGGGTGAGATAGTGAGGGCAGGGACATGCTGTGTGCACTGCAGATTAGCTCCATTAATGGAAACACAAAAGAGAAGACGGGACATTAGAGTTGTGTTCAGGCCGGGAACGACAAGAAGCAAACAACAAACACTTTGTGTATTTTCCAGAGTGAATTTATTGATCCTGCATGTCCAGCAAAATCAACTGTACTACATCCTCTCATGCGTAGTAGTCCTTCAGTCAGTCAGTCATTAAAAACTAAATAAAAATAAATTAAGAGTATAATAAAACAGTTTTTACAAAAAACAAATTTCAAGTATCTCAAGCAAACAGGTTTAGAGTTTTACTGAGAGAGGTGAGCAGCAGCTTGTTTCTCCACACCTTCTGCTTTCCATTCAGTCCCAACACATACAAACACACGATTACACACACACACATCCAAGTCATCCCCCCACACGTCTCTCCTACACTGTATGTACACTAACATTTACAAGTATATTATTAACAGCACGCATTGTTATAACAAAAATAGAAGTGCTTACATTTGTGCGTTGCAGACAATGACGGCAACATGAAGTCAAGCCAAATAAAGGTTCCCCCAATCAGCGTAGAGAACTCGAATTAATGATCGACACGTACTGTTTAAACTACATCATAATGAAAAATAAATATTCAAACTGTGAAAAATAAGATATTGAGATGATATGTGGAGTTATTAGGTGAAATGTGGCGCCGCTCCTCAAGCCATCAAGTCCACGGAAATAGCGAGAGAAGTGGCGTCAGGCTTGCAGAACAAGCACTGCAGGCACTAGACGGCAAAAAACAATTAAGTAACCATGGTCCTTTATGAACGATAAAATGTTTTGTCCTTTACAGACAAAATGACACATTCATCCAGTTGATCCTTGATGTTCGAGAAATGTTGCTTTTTAGAAAATCAAATTTCACTTTTCCTTATTTATATCACTGTTATCGTCTTCCTCGCCACTGATCCGCTTTCCGACCTCTTGAGCCTCGTGACACATCGGTGCAATTTCATTGGCAGGGCTGTAGGATGTCATGGCGGCCGGGTGAGCTCCTCCTCAGGTTCTGCAAAAACAACAGAACAAAAACACAACGTTAAGTCTTGACAGGTACTCCACTTAGAGGCTTATTATTCAAAACAACACAACTGGCTACCAGGACGTTAGCAACAACACAAAAGGCACTCCTGCATAAATATGCAGCCGTTGAATGATACTGTCTCATGCAGCGTAATCCCTAAACCACAAGTTACATCACCTGTGTTTTCTCAGGCCCTGATTTTCCTCTGTGATATTTTTAGGGCATGAAAACTAGCCCTGAGTTCATGAGTGTGTGAACAACGGCTGCTGTTAATCCTCTGGTGATTATGAATGAAGCTGAGGAGATCCTCGCACACCCAGCAGTCCACACCTTTCCACTGCGACAGCTGAAAATAGCACAGACGTGCTGTTTCTCCTCATGCAGTCAAGTTTAGTGGCTGTGGTTGTTCACTTAACTACCTGCTGGGCTAAAGTTGAGAACTTTTATTGAAGCTGATGTCATGAACAGGAAATAGCCAAAGTATGATGCGAAGCTAACTACTGAGAGAAACAGGATGAGGAGAAAACGAGTTAGAGGTAGGTTCTAAGGAGAAACAGGAGGACCACCATGCATGACAGTCAAATGTAAATCTAGCTACTGCAGCTAATGACTGGTCATGGTGGTGTTATTAACTATATTCCTCACTCACACAGACACAGGCTCTGGTGAACACAAAATGATGAGTGCTGAGTTATACTGTGAAGCATGGCATCACAACTACTTTCAGATCTAATCTATTGGAACTACCGTCTCTATTCCTTTTTTCAAGAACACTGAAAAAGTGCCAGAAATGTTTTTTCTTTTTTGGGCTGCAAGTATCTGCTACACAGCCCTAAGTTCTGGTTTAGTCTGGTCATCAGACTTTATACTTCCGTTATTCATGTAAAACGAGGCTGCTGGCAGAAACTATGAAGCAACTGCAAAGTCACTATGGTGTCTTTACCTTTGGAAGACTAAGAGCGAAACCACTTTGAGATAGTGGAGGGTGGTTCGTCTTTAAGCAGCACATGACAGGCCAAAAATAAACCAAACACAGGGACAAGAGCAGGATAAGTCAGCATGAATCAACATAGCATAGTATCGAACAGGGTGTGGTGATGTCAGCACACAGGAATCACAGCAATGTAAACTAGGGAGTGAGTTCCCTGAGAACAAAATGGGAGCTTTTCCTCTTTTCCTTCATAGCCAGGAAACTGTTGCACAATACAAGGCACCATTTCCCATCAGTCAAGTCTGGGGATGTTCAGACTGTAAAACTATGTAGTGATAGTATCATATCCAAATCAATTTGATAAACAAAGCGAGATCAGGAGCAGACAGAGCACAGTGTAAACAAAATATACAGCAGGAGCAAGTGAGTGAGATGCATGAGACAGACAAAGCGAGACAGCCAGAGACACTGAGCAGGATACTTACAGGCAGACTTTACCCAGCCAGTGCTGAAAGATGAGGAGAGGGCAGCAGGGGGGAAAAAGGACGGGACACAAGTGAGTGAGCGTACATGCAGAGACAGTCAGAAAGGAAAACAGGTGTTTCAGTCTGCCTGTGTCATGGTGCTGTTCAGACTGCTTTGCCGAATTCATCATAAAAATCAGGCACGAAACATCAGCTTCTCGTGACTTGAGTGTAAATAATTTGGTCCTGTCATTTGATAAACTCACCTGTCCAGCCAAGGAGAGAGGGAGGTGTGAGGGGCTGCAGAGAGCCAGCGAGGCAACAGAAGGAGGCACCTCCTGGATCGGAGCCTCGTCGAGGTCATCGATACGAGGTTTCTTAATGTTTGACTCGGGGCTGGTCAGGGGAGTCACGCTGTTCCTCCTGATCAAGGTGCCGGGGCCCCTCTTCACCTCCTGCAGGGGTACCAGGTGTTACACATTGGAGAATGTCAGATATCAAGCAGCATATGGAAGTAGTGTAGGCATTGTGTTATCTTAACATTAACATGGAACACGAGAACACAAGAGCCAGTTCTATCAACGTTTAACAATTAATGAATCATTACCTCAGGTCTGTCTCTGTGGGTGTTCACTGCCTCCACAGTCAAAGAGATGGACTCCACTTTACACCCGTAGGCGACCGGGGTGAGCTTCAGCACCGTGTGCAGGGGACATCTCAGATAGGGCATCTCCTCTGGAATGTCAGGGAAACACGTATATGAATAAAGATGCAGCAGATGAAGAGTATTGTAACTCATCATCATTTCATTCTTTTAGAGGGCTTCTGGGACTTGTAGCACCCACCTGCACTCTTATCCAGGAAGTAGGCCAGCAGGCAGCGCATGACGGCCTGGTGGCAGATAACCAGGACGTTCTCCTGCCTCTCTAGCTCCATGATGACTGGCTCCACTCGCTGGACCAGATCCTGGTACGACTGCCGTCAGGAAGGAGGAGTCGTTAGTCAATATGGTCATAGATATGTCAAATAGATTTGAAATTGTGAATTGAATAGTTTTTTTATCATTTGTTTGTCGATTGGCCTAAATGTAACTGTATGTGTACCTCTCCAGAAGGATAGCGGTAGTAGTATTTATCTTCATCTCTCAAAGCAAACTCCTCTGGATATCTCTCCTTCACCTCATCGTACGTCATCTCCTCACACACTCCCTAAAAGAACATATATTCAAACATAATTATTATGCATAGTATTTCAGTTAACAACAAACAGAGCTGTGTGTGCTGTTGGTTTTAATGGTGTGTGTTAGAGTGATACTTACGGCATCGATCTCATTAAGAGCCTTCCACTGTTCGTACTGGACTCCCAGGTGCTCGACAGTCTGGATGCTGCGACACAGCTGGCTGGTCCACACCTTCAAATTCTCCAGTTTCTGCTCCTCAACAAACCGGGCCAGGGCGCCTGAAAACTGTGGCAGGAAGGATGGTATTCAAACCCCGAAGCTTATGTCTCAAATCTTGCCATCTCGTCTATTTCACGCTCTTGTCTGCGGTTGCTCGTACCTGTCTGCCCCGCGACGAGAGACCAGAGTCACCACCGAGCCGTCCCTCCAAGTTATCAGTGCTCTCTCCATGCCGACACAGGTAGATGGTGCGGGGCTGGATGTGGATGTTCATCAGGTAGTAGACGATCTTGCTCTGGATGTGATCTTGGATCCGGTTGACGAGGAACTGCCGGCCGACATCAATCACCTTGATGAAGGAGAGATCCCTGAGGGAAACATAATGGGATGATTTATACGTTTGTACAGGACGTTGCAGATCTCCTATGGGCCAATGGTGATGATTTACCTGTCGTGCTGATCGGAGTCCAGAGGTTGGTAGCTGGTTTTGTAGCACTCAATTCGCCGCTGGAAATCCAGCATGGCGTCTGTCTTGTTGCAATCCCGGTAGTCTGGACACGACACCTTCACTTCCTGCACAGGGAGGAAGACTGTCAGACGGCAAACAACACGCCTGAGGCCAGAGAGATGTGAGCACTTCAAGTTGTTTAAGACATAACAATGATGCATCGTCATGTCATGTGACTCACCATGATGTTGGACGCGATGACGCTGGGATCATTGCACACGGACTCGATGAAAAAGATCTGGGGATAAAAAGAAAAGACAGAATGGTTAAATGTCACTGTAATGACGAAGATGCCATCCCTTGACTCCTAATGTCGCCATAGCAACGCTTACCTTGAAGCCATTCTCATCTCCGAACTTGAGGATTATGTCTCGCCTTTCTCTTGTTGTGTTTGTGGCATCGAAGACCTACAGGAAACAAGGCTGATGATGACTTTCAGAATAATGTTGCAGTTGTGTCTTATCGTGTTAGGAGTACAGATATTTAGAAAACACGATGCATGACAGGAAACTCACCGCTACATGGCCTCCCTCGTCCTTCAGATAGGACTTGACATCCCTCAAGGCTGCTAAGGCACACTGCCTGAAGAACAAAGATTGTGGAAAACGTTTATTTTAAATATATATTTCTACAGTAATCGTGTGTGTGTGTGTGCGGTGTGGGGGGGGGGGAGACTTACTGCCTGATTTTCACGGCACACTCATTATCAGGCTTGAAGAAGTCATAGGAGCTGTAGTTCTTGACAGCCTCCCTGCGATACTCTCCCACGTTAAAGACTACAACACCAGGACAGAAAAAGGTGTGAGCACGTTGTCCAAGAGGTGGAAAAAGAAGTTGATACTTCGAGTAAAAACTACATCTCAAACTACAGTATCATTGTTAAGCTACTGATGTGTGTGTTTACCTTTGGTAGGCATGCCGATCCAGTTGAGGTAGCGGGTGAGTTTCTTTGAAATGTACGTTTTGCCTCGAGCAGGCAGGCCCACCATCACGATGACGGTGGGGTTGGCGAAGTGGGGAGCGCCAGCTGCTGCAGAGGGGGACAAGGAGACATAAATCATGAGAACTGTGCCTGTTTACAAAAAAAGTAAATATGACAAATTTGGAGTTTAGGTCTGAACACAAGCAGCAGTGTGAAATGACTCCACCAGCAGCCAGAGGTCGGATACAAATATCAAACAGCCTCCCACAGCGTCCACAACCTGCCTCAGGTTATTTATTAACCACTAACCTATAATCCCTGTGTGTGTGTCCACGCTGACACACTCCCAGCGAGCATGTGAATGTCTGCAAACGCCAGACTCGCATTTTACTTCCACCTCACTGCACATCTGACCCACTTCTGTCAACGTGAGCCAGGACGTGTTGCTTTCACGAGAGCAAATATACTGTAACCCCTGGGGCCCATGGGAGTTTCTATATCATGCGCGACAGAAGGCGGCGGAATGCAGGGTGTTGATTCTGCATGAATGATACGATCTGTATGTCACTGAGTTTGTGAGCGAACAGAACTGAGCCACGCTCAAATGGAAAAACGGATCAAACTCTGAGTCAGCACTCGACAATGTGGTTCATCCTTCCTCAACTTCTTTGTTCAACTCTCATCCATCTCCATCATCTCGCTTCCACCACACCCCACCTCTGTGCGTTCAACCGCCACACCTCACAGCTCTTTTATTTTCATCCTCTCGTCACTATGAAAAAAAAGATACATTTACCACAAGTTTCTTTTTTTCTCATCAAACTCCTGAATCAGACCTGAAATGAAAGTGCATCAAATGAGGATGATGAGCTTTGTCCGCCTCATTGATCAGTAAACCACGTCAGCCCATCGATAGTCAATGAGCGGCAGCAGAGGATGCGGTGACCGTGAATCAGGATGTGAATGAAATAAAAAATATTCTTATATATTTCTAAATATTCAAAATCATCTTATACATTTCTCAATAGATTTAAGTCCTCTCTAGTTGTAGCATTTAAAATTGAAGAAATGAATTCTATATTATGGCATATTTTATATATTTATTATATTATATTTATTTTTAGATGTTTTTATATTTTTAATTCATTGTATCGCTTTTTCACTTATTGCTCTTGTTCCTGTTTTCTTGATCTACTTGCCTTTAAATTTGTTTTAGTATCTTTTCGCTTTTTTCCTCTACATGATCAAACACCAGAGAAAATCTCTTGTATGTTGAAAACAGATGCTGATTAAATACTAAAACAAAGACAAGTAGAATTTAAAAAAATCCTATATTATCATTTTATTATATTACATTTTTGTCTTAGTTTAAATTACATAGAATAAAGAGCGATGTGAGTAAATGTAAAGTTAGAGTCGTTATAATTAATAGTATAATAGATGATGTGTATCATTTGGCTCTGGACACGAGACAGCAGCGGCCGGGTCGAACCATGCACGCGCGCTGCCGGCGGACCAATGAGAAGCCCCCGCAGATCAACAGCATCACACAGGTTGCGGGGCTCCGCGGTTGCCGTGGCGACGGGATCCATGTCACGCTGCAGTTGCTAGGAGGCCGGGGACGTGCCGCGCGTGCCGATGAAGACCACCCGTGAACGAACAGACCGGTGAAGGACAGGTGCGCGGAGACATACACGTCACCGTGGACACGTTTTAACAAACATGGAGGAAGATTCAAAAGAGATGCTAGTGTTTCAGTGTTCGATGCTAGTGACGTTAGCTTAAATCACCGCGGAGCCACCAGCGGCTCACCGCGGTGTCACATGGTCCATGAGCAGGATGAAGATGTACCGGTACTGTGTGTGTGCGTGTGTGTGTGTGTGTGTGTGTGTGTGTGTGTGTGTGTGTGTGTGTGAGTGAAGGAGACGGGTCGACACGGTTCGTACCTCTCCGTGGTGCCGGCTTGTCATCCTTGGTGGGAACCCAGATCTTTTGGATCCTGTTCTGGGTCAGCTCTCTGGGCATTCCTCAGGGACCTAAGAGCCGCGCTGTACACGGGAACCGAGCCGCTTATATCCGGGGTGAAAAGACTGACAGGAGCCGGTGGAGCTTCGTCTGTTCCGCTGAGGAGCAGCAGCGAGCCGGGGCCGTTCAGTTCAGAGTGAGGGCACGCTGAGCGGAGCTCATCTGCCGGTCTGCGGCACACATCCGCTATTTAACCCCGCCCGGCTGCGGCCGCCCGGGAACACACGTGACCATCGTGACGAAATTCTCTCTCACTCTCACTCACACACACACACACACACACAGAGGCAGCCACAGCGCCCCTCTGTGGTGAACTCTTTATTACATAAATGCACAGGTACAGCTCTCTTTATTATCATATATATTTAGTACAAGAGTTCCTGAATATAAACTGTGGGTCGTATTTTCATTAGTCATGTTTATTACATTTCAATTACAGCAACATCTGTCACGTTTATTTATCTTGTCTTTAAGCTGTCTATATATTTTCAAAGATGTATCTGGCCTTTAGTTGTTTATTGTCTTTATTCTTCTAACTTCTCATTGTGTTGTGTTTGTTGCTTTAAGTCACGGCTGGTGGACAAGAATTATATATAGATAAAAATGTTGATATCAGTGGATAGGCGGAGGAATGCAGGGTGTAGATTCTACATGAGTGATATGATCTGCAGGTCACTGAGTGTGTGAGTGAAGCAGTAAATAATGACTGTTGAAAGAAAACTCTTCTTTTTGAGCAGTGCTCGACGATGCATAAGCAATATATATCGATATACAGTGTATTGAATTTTTGATGTTGTTTTTATCTCCCAGCCCTATTTTAACTAGTGGTATATCTGTTTTTAGGTATCAGTGGGTATGAGCAGTTTAATAGAAGTGATGGTCATTTGTAATGGCATTGGTAAATAATGGGGGATTTTTTCAACATGACAATGATTATCATGATGTGGCTGTTAACTGTGACTGAGCACTTCAGTCTTACATCATTATTTCCCTCTATATGAAATCAGGAAACACGATCACTTTTCTTCATACCCACACATGTTGAAATTTGACAACTTGAGAAAACGTGCAGAGTCTCACATCGCCTCAGTCTGCTTCATCATACTGGTTGGTCATAATGAGTCACAATGAATAGAATTTAATATATATTGATTACTACAGGGAAATGTTGATCAGTGACCCAGACTCCCTTGATGAAGCAGATTAAAATAAGATCAGCATTTGATAAAATAATATATGACGATCCTGTGAAAATAAATGAAAATGTAGACATCTCAGTTGTATTTTATCATTATTTACATATTTGTCTATTCTATTTTAATTTTTTTTTAATAGATTGTTCAGTGAAGCATTTTGTGACTTCTTTTCAAAAAGTACTATGTTCTTACGTACAGATTTACACATTAAACTACTGGTGACTTGATTATTCTGTCTACAGTAGTAATTAGTAGTATTTAGTACAGTGTAAGGACTTGCAGTGATTTGTCGTTGTACTGTGGGCAACTACAGAAACTTTTTGCAGTGTACTGAATTTCCTTGGTTGCCTCAGTCTGGACTTTGAAAACACTCTGAACTCTGGCCAACCTCATCCCAAAACCAAATTCCTCTTTACTCAATTTTGTTTATTCATCAGAGTGACAAACCCGTTGCTGTCACCCACCTCAACAAAGCTGTGAAGTTTATGTTGCTTTCCTGAGTTTTTTAGAGAGTACAGCTGGAGTTTGAAGAAATTTGAACTTGGAAGTGGTCAGGTTGTGACCTCTCCCACTGAAGTATTCAAACGTGTTAGTGTCGCAGTGTGAAGTGAAAGAAAGTGCAGGTGTGAACCTGAACTGGGTTTGTGTCTTTTGTTTGTTCTGATAGTGAAACACTGGAAAGATAAAGTTTGGGAACACGGATGCAGTTTCTGGGATTTCAAATGATAACATTATCCGGTTCTTTCACTTCCTTGTAAGACTAAAGCCAGTGAGAATGTTTTAAATTAGAAATAGATACGGCTACAGAATGTAAGGGAAAAATAATCCATAATATTTGTAGGGAAAACTGTCGTTTGAGTCTTGGTCATGAAATATGCGTTAATTGACATATGTCTGGACACAGAAATGTTTTTGGTTTACGACTGAGGTTTAGAATAGAAAATACACAGATAACAAAGCGAGGATGAATCTCAGTTTGGATGAGTTATGACTGAGTCAAGACAATTGTTTTATTGTGAAACATTTTTATTATAGTCATGCATGTACAATTAGAAATGCCTCTTTGTGAGTGTGGCTCTCCGCTGAGTGGGGTTTCAGTCTATATACATTTGTCCCCACTCATATAAGGTCAGCAGGACCTTTGACATTTCACCAATCAGTCAGCTAACGTTTGAGTCCAAGTGACAACTCATCAAAATTCCCACCATGACCTTGACCTTTGACCCTTAACCACCCAGATCATCCATCAGTCTAATTAAACCTTTCTACCAAATGTTAAAGAATTCCCTGGTCAGTGTTCCTGAGATATTGTTTTCACAAAATGTAGTTTTTTGACGTCACTCTGACTTTGACCTTTGACCACCACATTCTAATCAGTTCATCTTTGAGTCCATTTGAATGTTTGAACCAAACTCACAGATATTCCCTCAAAGTGTTGTTGAAATATAATGTTCACAAGAATGTGATAGAAGGATGAGCAACCTGACAACATAATGTTTCCAGCCACTGGCACCGACAAAAACGAAACTTTATGTATATGTGTACAAGGTGCATTTACTCTCATTTACCATAAAACACTAAAACAATCTCATCCTACATCAGAGCATGACAAGTCATTACTTTACCTACTGACATACAGTGTGCACCACTTACTGCACTGTGACTGTGGATTTAAACAGACTCTTTTCCAGCACATCATATTTCAGACGTGTTTATCCACATCGTCTCGTCACCTCCCTCGGTGAGGACACGTTTTCTCCATGAGGAGACAGGACGCAGACCAGACGCTTCTTGTTTGTCCTGCAGTTTTCCTACAAGAACGTGGCTGCAGTTCAGCACCAAGTGACCATTGTAGCCTGTAGCATGTTAATTACTTACTATTGACTTTCTTATGATGTTTTCTAATGCTTTGCATGTTTTCATGACATTTTTGATGCCTTGTTATAATGAGGTTTTTGAAGCACCAGTTTTTTTAGTGCAAGGTGAAAGACTGTGATGATTTTCTGTGCAGCTGAACTTGGACAGGGTCAGGTGATCTCTCCCACTGAAGGATTCTGAGGTGTTATAGTGTGAAGTAACAGAAAGTGTGGTTGTGAACTGAACTGGGTTTGTGTCTTTTGTTTGTTCTGATAGTGAAACACTGGAAAGATAAAGTTTGCGCACACGGATGCAGTTTCTGGGTTTTTCTGATGATAACATTATCCGGTTCTTTCACTTTCACTTAGACTTATTTAAAAAAGCTACTGAGAATGTTTTGTGTTATATATAGATGTCAATCCAAATGGAACTACAGGATGTAAGGGAATGATAAATAATATTTGTAGTTATTTGAAATGAAATATACTTTATTTGACATATCTTTTAACTCTTTAGAATAGAAAATACAAAGATAACAAACTTTTTTAAGGCATCACTACCACCAGTCACCACTGCTTTTTACTTTCAAGACTCTTATGACTTCAGTGGAAGCGGTTCAAATGATATTGTATGAATGCATTTAAGTGTTTCCAGTATATCATACGTCTGTATTTCCACTCATAATGAATAACTTAGTTCAGTTGTACTTTCGTTTCTTGGTTTTTCTTTGGCGTGTTGCTGTCAGGGGACAGTGGACACAATATATCCAGGTCAGCCCGCAGCCACTGACCTTACACACGCTGACCCTCAGCCAATTTTAAGCCCCGTCTCATGTCACACCTGCTGGTATTCAGGTCAGGGTTTAATGGACACTAACAGCCAATCACACCACTGCACTGCTGTGCACGTCCAGGACATGCTCCCACCACTACCCTCACGCCTGGTCCTCACACACACACACACACACACACACACACACACACACAGTGATGCTATAGGACAAACTGTAGCCAGAACCAACCAGCTGCTGACCCTGAACTCCAGCATGGACACGGGACACTAACACATTTTCTTTTAATCAGCTCAGCTTGATTCAAAATGACATACAGCATTTCATCTCTGCATCTGTGACCTGTGTTTTGTTTTTTCAGCTTTCCAACTTAAACTTTGAACTATAAATCATGCTGTAAAAATTAATAAAACAGTAAAAGAAAGATGAGATGCATTCCTCTGAGAAAATGTTACTTATAGCTGTTACCTCATTAGGTTCTTTTAACAGAAGTGTTTACATTAGTACCGAGAAACCTAAATAACAGGAGGATATTTTAGTCTTTCCACAGCTGGTCAAACGGGTTTTTATTCCTCAGCTTCAGCCTGTTAGCTCATATTCCCTTGACCTTTGACCCCCTGCCGCCCTCAAGGGTAAATTACAGAATGAAATCTGTCAAATGGGTCTCTTTCTCTCTGCAACCCGTTTCCCTGATCTGAATTAAAACCTGCTCCACCGGGACACCTGCTGACGTTTTCCACTGGAGCCTCCGGGGGGCCCTTTCGGTTCACTTACGTAAGTTCTGAATGAGGCTGGGGCGGCGTTCACCGTCCCAGTCCCCTTCCCACAATCCATCAGGGCTAAGTTAGGACTACTGGGCCCTGGAGATGTGTTAACACTATTGTGGCATCAGTGTTATCTCAGATAACATTTCAGAGGGAAACTAGGCTGCTTGGATATTATGCGCTCATCCACAACAGGATGTGAAGTTTTAAGTTTGATTCAGAATTTGACAACAAATTGTTTATACTTGTATGAACTATTTCATATTTTGAGGCTGAAAAGCAAGGAGGTTCCATTGTAATATTGAATTTCAGTGAATAACTTGCTATACTGACTAATGATACAAGATCAACAGGATATACAGTTTAAAAAATGATAAATAAACAAAGAAAACAGTACACTTGACATCATTTCAACCTTTTATTTATTCGACATAAAAGTTATTTTTCATCACAGGAAAAAAGAAAAGTAAAGCTCCACAAGTTGGTCTCATCATCGCTACATTCAGACACTTCACTGAAAATATAAAAAAATATTTATGTACAAGTGAGGAAAATGAGGTGTGTTAATAGCGTCTGTTGGTGTGTGTGTGTGTAGCTTCCCATGGAGACATCAGACCTGCTCCCCGAGATCCAAAACCCGAAACTTGTCTAGATTGTAGAAGCAGGCCTTGACAACTCGCCCACCGAAGTAACGTCCGTTAAGATCAACCACAGCTGCACAGGAGACAGAGAAAGAGAGACATGTAAGGTCAGTTTGTACCGAAATACACGGACCTAGATAAACAGGATTAGTGCTGTCATGTTACGGAAATCAAATACACATTCAGGGAACATGCTCGTATCTGTTCTCGGAAGAAGAAATGTTTTGCTATGTGTGGAATAAACTGTTGAGAAAAGCACATCAGTGATGCAGCCGCAGTTTATTTATTTTATTTTGATTTAGTCATTTAGCAGACGCTTTTATCCAAAGTGACTTACAAGGAGACATAACATTCAAGCTACATAGCAACAAACATCTTAGTGGAACAATAAATACTACACTACGTTTAAGGGCAGAGATTAAGTAATAATTTGCAGGAGGTGGCGGTAGGGGAAAGGAAAGGAGAGACCAGTGGTTCTAGAAAGCAGAGGAGTGGTAGAAAGAGAAGGAGTGGGTGGAGTAGGTGTTCTCTGAAGAGAACACCTAGCTTCAATAGCTTCTTGAAGACAGAGAGGGACGCCCCTGCTCTGGTGGTGTTTGGCAGCTCGTTCCACCAACGTGGCTTTACGAAGGAAAATAGTCTGGATTGCCGTGGCTGTACAGATTTGACGAGCGCAATGTGGGTGACGATGAGCCAAGACAGAGTTATTCTGAGAAAAAATATGATATCAACGTGATTTCTATCTAACGAGGCAACGTACAGTGAACACTGTTCTGTAGAGCTAAAGGACAACTGAGACTCACAGCGTTCATTCTGTCCTGTCTGACAGCGTTCACCTTATCAATGAAATGGACAATCTCATATTGTTTCTGTGCTTCAATCCAGTAATGGGTCCGACCCACTGTCCTTGAAGGACGGGACAGGATTTCCAACAGTCAGCACATCGTCCTGCAGCACCTTCAACTCATGTGTGCCAACACTGGATGTGCCAAACAACGTGTGTTACAGTGATTAGACAGAGCTGGGCTCTGACGTCACTTTGAAAAGTGTGGTAGATAAACACATTTTTCCAATGAGTCATCCACAAGTGGTGGTTCAAGCTACATGCTGTTCTTCTTCAGACTGATATGATTAATATTTATAACTGAATATATATCAACAATACACACATGAGCACGTACATTAATATATATACAAACTGGTGATGCCCAGGTGTGCTCATCTCCAACCTGTTACTATGTGCACATCACCTTTGACCTCTACGTGGTAGGATGGGATACATTAGCTCCTTCATGGCGATAAAATCCTCATCATCTATAGAAACTGACTGTGCAGCGTGACACCTCTGTAGAATTCTTTATGACTGTGCCCCACGTAACGTTCTCTCACTGCGTGTCCCGCTTTCTCGGAGGTGTGATGTAAGCTCGGTTCTGCCGGTGCCGCAGGGAGACGGCTGGGTTGCTGGGCCACGTGTGATATAACACCACAGGGAGCAGAGTCTCACCATGTTTCTGATTTGGGACAACTCATTTAGAATGGGACACACTTTCACCCACCTTACTGGAGCAGTTATACAATGATAGGGCGAAAACGACGCAATTACATAAAGTTGATGAAGCATTGTTCACACATACACTAGATGTTTGCAAGAAGAACATTCTCAGTGACTGTGAGAGACAAGTTTCCAGTGACCCATGTCCATTATTTCTTCTGATGTGTTCAGGCTTTACAAAAGGTCAAATGAGCAGGAGAGGCCTCATTTTAAAATGTGCACGAAAACCACAAGAAAGCACTGACCTTTGATGGCAGACTCCACCCTCTCAAACTCCAGAAATATCCTGACAGCTTCATCATCAGTAACCTCCGCAATCTGAGAAGGAAATTGTGTTGTTGTCACTGTTCTGTCTGGTCACTTAACATCAAAGCAAGCCCTGTGATTCGCTTCCCTCACCTCGAAAATGACACATTTGACCACTTTGCCGTATTTCTCGCACTCTTCTTTCGTCTCTCCCTCCAGGTCTTCATCCACTTCTCCTCGGCCCACCATGTTCTGGAAGACAAACATGGGGCTTGTTTACATGGGACAATGGAAGATGATGAAATGTGATTTTGGAATCTGAAAAACCAAACAGGCTGTGCTTTTTGTTATTTAACTTGTATATTTTCACCATTATTTTATGAGTAAAAATGTTGAATGTGCAGAGAGTGTGTGTGTATGTGTGTGTGTGAGGCCTGCTTGGTGGGATATTTTGTAACACACACAGAGGCACACGTACCCTCAGCAGAACCACTTTGGTTGGGTTTTTGAGGATCTCTGTGAGCGGGTTTGCATCGGACTTCTTGGAACAATCAGCTAGTTGGGTGGAAACAGACACAAAGTTAACGTTCTTTCGAAAGAATTGTTACTTTCGGATGAAGCAACTGTGTGCAATAACAAATTGTATCATGTTGTATTGTTCAAGACAATACGTGTGATAAATCCAACAATTGCTCATATTTTTTAGCTAAAGTGATATTAATATTTCGAAGTGCTATTTTTTTATTGTGTTATACATGTTGCTGAGAAACTGCTCAAAGTGGGTCACATCTGCTACTGTTCCTTTGTTAGTATTGCTAGATAATGACCATGCAGCAGAGAGGTATACTGCCTTGTTCAACATATACAGATAAACAGTATTTATACTGTATATGCAGCAGCATACTGAACATTTTCTCCAAGTCTCTGTTGCTGATGAAAGCTGGTGGAACAGTTGAAATAAAGCAGCAGTACGTCTGACATCTAGTGGCCAAAAGCAGTCAACGTATTCAGAGAGAAGCAAAGGAAAGCATTTACTCAGCATTAAGATGTATTTTTATTTTATTTTTCAAATATTTACACATGTTAACCCATTCTCTCTCCAGGTTGTTAGTTCCATGTCACAAAATTGACATATATGTAGTAATTAGTTTCCCAAAACTATAACTTTAACCTATTTAAGCCCAATTCCATCGTTGGAGGACTTGGGAGAATGGGTTAAAAGAAGCAGAGCTGTTAGAGAAGGAAATGAGAAGGACTTTGCAGCTTTTGCATGTAATAAATAAAGGTCACAGTCAAAGTGGATAACAAAGAAGCATAAGCTACAACATGAGAACTGAAAAAAACTGAAGTGTAACTATCACTAACAAACACATCCAAAATAAAACCCATGCAGAGCTCTTAATACACCATGCCTATAGGAATGCAAGGTTTTGGCTACAGGAGTGTTAATAGATAAGCACATGCAAACACTTCTAGAATACAGTATGGAGGACATAGGAAAATGTAGAGGAGGCCAACCTGCAAAGCCTCCGAGTGAAGTCTCAGCGACACCTGACAGACTGGACCCTGCTGCTCAGTCACACCCGCGCACACACACGTTACACAGAATGAAAAAAGCATAAACATAAAAACAAGGTCACAATGTTCATTGATGAGTGTGGAGCAAAAATACACATGAAAAGATCACAAGCGAAACCAAATGAATTTGTCGTAACTTAAAGTCAATACAGATTTAACAGAACGAGACACAAGCCTAGGTTCACACCTTTCATGCTGTTGGGAAACGAGACTTGAAAGCAAGCAAATTGAAAAAGAAGACAGAGTGGACCAAGAAAACAGAGTCTGGAATATTAAGCATTGATCATGTGGACACTATAAAAGAAATAAAGAAAAATAAAGAGTGTCCTTACGTTTTTCTGCAGCATCGCCTATGATGATCTTTCCACCTCTCTTGCTGGTCTTCTCCACAGACAGCGCTGTGCTGAGGCCCTGCTCGTGCTTCCCCAGGCCCTGGCCTTCTTTGAAGCCATACTTCTGCATGATCTTATGGGCCACTGTACCTCTGTGGGAAGAAGCAGGGAGAACAACTTTTTAGCTGATTATCCATGATTTGTTATTCACCATATGAGATTTCAACAAAATCCTGCATGGAAAAAAAAATGTGTTTCTTTTGCGTGAGAATACAAATGCCTGGTCTGTGTGTGTCCCACCCACCCCATGTTGGCCAAGAAGGAGCTGGTTGGTCCGGGCGGCGAACGCGGTCGGTCTGAGTCCTCATACATAGGTGGTGGAATTGCGGCTTTCGATCCTCTGGCAGGACGACCTTCATCCTCATAGGAGAATGAAGTGGAGCCTGAACACATAAAAGAAGCACAACCACTTGTAGTGCTGCACTAAGATGTGAGTCTAGTTTGTCTTACATCTTTGTTGTCAGCTTAAAATACCTACACTTTAGGGGAATAACTATTAATAAGCATAGGTAAAAAAGCCTTAATAATACAGGGCCTCATGGGTCATCTGTCACTTGTGCATAATTCATGTCCTTGTTGGTTTCGGATGTTTGTTTATTTTCCTTAAATGAGTCTGGGTTTTCTATTACTGAGCCATTATTACTGTGTATTCATTCAGCTACAGTTTCACCTGATGGATAATCAGACCTACCATCTCTGTCCATAAGTGATGAAGGAGGAGCGATAGCTGCTCCACCCAAAGCTGAGAGAAACAAGTAAACAAAAAGAGAAAGAGGAGACATGGGAAGTTTAGTTTTTTTTTCATGTTGTGCACTCTGTGACCAAAATGACAATTCGCCCCACATAACAATGAAGTCTGTGATGAGGGGAAACACAGGAAAAAAACAATTCCAGTTCCCTAAAAGTGAAACTGGTTACAAGCCAGAATATGAAAAAGGTTCCGGACAAGGCCAACATCAGACCAAAGCATGAGTTTCTAATATTGATTGAATACAGACAATTTTTTATAGATCCATTATGACTTTAAGCTTATAAACTTCAAGGCAGCTTAATAACATTCACTCAGTCATTGTGTAATAGTAACAATAATGACTTTCTGCCAAGCAGTGGGAAATACTCACTTCGTTTTTGCCGCTCTTTCTCGTAATCATCATCCTCGTCTGAGTCTTCCTCTGTTGCTGGGAAACGAGAGAAGCCGCTTGGAGCTACTCCATCGTGCCTGTCTTTCCTTTTCCTGCAAAAACACAAGTCTCAGATTAAACTAAGTAATATGATTCTTTAGTTTCTTAGTAAATGACAAATAACCAAATTCTACAACATTGACTGAGTTACAGATGCATCATTATTCCACAAAAGATCCCAAATAACAATAAATGAGGAACGAAAAATAATCAACTGATTAATTGTCAATCATTCTTTAAGTGGAAGGGTAGATTGATTGCCGTATGTATCTATTTCCCCCCATTATTACTCTCTTGTTTAATCCCAGCGCTTGTTTTTAATCACTGTTTGTTCAAGTCAAACAACATTACTTTTCTCTCTCCTCAATTTCCTTCTGCCGCTCCTGCTCCCTCTGCCGCTGTCGTTCTTCTCGGTGTCTCTTCACCACCTTCTCATAGTCGTTGGGGAACATCGGGTCATACTCGTCCGCCAACGGGATCAGCACATCGCCAGAGGAGAACCCACTAGGCACAGTGTCCTGAAGCAAGCACAAACACATTTTTGACACGCTGATTTATAAACTTATTTTAGCAGAGACCGAACCACTTGTGATCAGGTCCCTCAGGATGTTAATACCAGGTCTGAGTAGGGCCTAACATGCTGCATCTCACGCTAGGATTTAATGGAAACACACCCCAAGTACATCAAGCCAGAGCAGCATCAGGAGTGCTCCGACTTTCCAGGTTCACTGGCAGAGACTGACCTTGAGTCCAGCGGCAGCGTGTGGAGGAGTATCAATGATCTGTCGCTCATCACTGGAGCCTCCTCTCTTTAGGTCAATGACAGGAGCCAGGACAGTGGTCTGCTTCATTCGCTGCGTCTACAAACACACACAAAACCAATGAAATCAGTGGAAACAAACACATTTGGGTTGTTTGTTCTTGTTCGTATGAAGCCCATTATCATCACCACAGTCTGTTCTACCTATGTACTGTGTGCCTACCTTAGCCTGGGTCAGAGCCGCCTTCTTCACCTTCAGCTGGGACTGAAGCAGCTTGAAATTCTTGGACCATCCTTCGGTCTTGGTGTCATTGGCCGCCACCCCGAGATCATCATACAGCGACATAGCTGCCCGTCAGTGCTCCTGTTCCCCACACACACACATACACACACAGGTACAATTCTTCACTGAATCTCTACTGGCTTCATTAGCATCTCTTCATTCAGCAGCAGCTGGATAGAAATCGATCCTCTAACTCAGCAGCAGTTGATTATAACTTCACATTTCGTAACTCGTATTCGTTACATGCTGAATATATCCCCTGGAGAAACACCAAACACACCAGCGCTGTCTTCTAATAGCGTGATCACCCTTAGCTAACGCCAGCTAATGCTAACACAGCTACTTAGCAATAACTAACGCCTTAAAGTGAATAATTACACACAAACAAACACAGCAGCTGGTGTTTGAACCCACCGGTGTTAGAAACACCCGGACATCCACTCACAGATGAGAGAGTTCCACTGAGTGAAGGTGAACGTGCAGTTTGCATGCAGCTCCTCGCTGAGCGCGACCAGAGGCTGCGACACAACAACAAGGAGAAGCGCGTCCGTCAACGACAGTTGGGGGGAAGACACGTCCTGCTCCTGCGCCACCTGGCGGCCTGGGGGACTTCACCTGCCAACATAAACAATTAAAGTGCGGAAGTGTTGAGCTGCCAAAGGAAGTGACACGTGCGGAGAATGAATGTGTGCACTCGAGTTTGATAGATGTGATTAACAGACAGCTGGAGGGCGGGGATGTTGAGGAACTACTGACGCCACCTCCTGCGTCGTGTGGCTGCAGCGGGAGGAGTCGCAGCGGGGAGAGCGAAAGTGACAGTCGAAGAGTCGGTGTCGGTGAGGATGGTCTGTGCCGGGGTCAGTTTATCTGCTGGAGATGATCCGGTGAGAGGTCGATGGTTCTTCAGATGGATCCGCGGTCTCTGTGTCTCTCTCTCTGCGCTGTGATCGCGTCTCTGCTCGCGGCGGCGCGCTGCTCCTCCGTAGGTAAGCACCGTTCAGAACTCCCATTAACAAACCTGCAATTTTACTGCGAGGGTTCGCTGCGCCGATCGGCTCAAACTCAGCATAGTGAAACATGACTACACAGAATGACGTGCTATCGGACATGTGTTCTGCGTGGATTATTTTCATCTATTTGTTCTTCCTTTTTTTTTTTTTTTTTTTTTTTTTTTTTTAGTTTTTTTTTATGTATATACAGTTTTCCAACACGCATCTAATCCATAAAACAACAATAAAAACATACAAATAAAAGTATGCGCTTGTCATATGTATTAAGTGATATCTTTCGAAGAAGTGTAGGAGAGTCAGACCCATTTAATCTACGGTAGATTTTGTATTTTGTCAGGAAATCGCTCAAACCTTAAACAGAATGTTTCACATTCACTTCCGCGCCATGGGTTTTCAGACCTTTTTAAATGTTTTCTGTCAGTATATGTATTTTATTTTCGATTTTCTGTTTACTTTTTGATCCCTCTAATACACAGAACACACACACACATATATATAACACCTTTTTAATGTTTTCTGTTTGAATTATTTTCATATATTCTTACCTTTAGATTTGAAAAGAGAAATGTGTCATTTCATACAACTCAGCATTTAAAATGAGATGCAGTCGTCTCTAACAATACAAAAATGTAATAAGTAAGTGAATGTATGCATGTGTAATCTACTGTATTAATGTCCTACATTGGAATGTATACACAAGAGGGTCAAGGAGTTGAAGAGAGAGTCGAACCATTTAATCTATGTGCAGATACTGAACTTTCAGTTTCACACTCACCCCATTGAAATGAGCTTTTTATAAATAAATAGAAAGCTTTTGAACAAACTAAATGGTGCATTCTTTGCAGCCTGGTTATGATTCTGAGGTGAGGTCCACCAGATTTAATGATTAATTAATTCATGGGCTGTAAAACAAATTCTAGAGTTACTGTAAATATATAATCTGTATTGTGTTTGAATATCCATCTAAATCCCTTCCATGTAAATCTTCTAGTTTTTCCCCTTTGCCATCTCTAATGAACTCACTAGAAATAAACATGGTTAGTTTTGGCTATCTTTGCATTGATCTGTCCATGTTGTCGTTTGTTTTTCTTTCAGACAAAAATAATTGTTCTTGTGCAGAAATCCCTCAAATGCCTCGAACGAAGCCTCCACCCGAGAACTGTTCTGACACTTTCCGCTACACGTGTGAAGATGGTTACGTGAGGAAAGTGGGAACTTCGAACCTCATCAAATGTTGGAAAAATAACAGTCCTCCGAAGTGGAACAAGAGCACACTCCAATGCATACGTAAGAATTATTATTGTAAATCTCCCCACACAGTTACTGGAGCTTGACCCACAGGCCTCAGATTATAGGATAGAACTAAATACACATTCTTAGCCCAGCATGTACAGTCAAATAGACGCACTACTGCCTCGAACAATAGTCCCTGAGTAGCTGAGTAGCAACCACAATCCAGTGGTAGAGTGTGGCCTGTGCTCTGCCTTGAAAATGTAAATAGATTTAGAATTTCACTTGACTGAATTGACCTCAAATCAGTGGAAGCCGTTCTTGCAATCCACCCCTCAAGTTTGACAACGTAAGAACATTTTTAATCAGAAATGAACGAAAATGACAAATACTCCTGTCAGTGCTAGTGGGAAGGAAGTCTATAGGTACATAATTTTGAGAACGAGCTCCAATTTGCAATTTTAAGACCTGTCTCCTTTAGAAACACTGTCGCTGCAAAGGCAAAGTCATTCCACACAAACGTCAACAGGCGAAAGTCTGCCTTCAAGGACTTAAAATGATCGCAATGTGGACAGTTGTGTTTGTTCAACAGCATCTCGGAAACTCTCTCAGGGGAAGATCAGACCTCATGATAAAGTGTTAGTACAAAAGTGTACAGGATGCAGTTTGGTGACAGCACAGGTGTAATGTAATGCAATGTATGAGGATTTAAAGGTTGGGTTGGTAAATTGTTTCTAAAACTTTTCACATCCCGTGTCTGTGGCCCGAGCAGGACCGTGGTTAAGGCGACTAATTTCATATAGACCGAATACAATTATTGACGTATGTATGTCTATCAGAAGTTAGAGATCAAGTTCAATAAAAGTCACAGTGTGCATTCATATGGGCGTTGCTATGGCGAGAGAATCGATTGGAAGGGGTGGGATATATCAGTAACATTTGCAAGCTTTCCCAGGATTACCAACCCTAGCTTCAAGTGTGTCCTTTGAATGAAATAAAAATGAACAACTTAATGGTTGAGGATTCTGTTATGTAGCTGCATGTTCTTCCAGTTGAGTTAACCATACATGCTAATATCTGACTAAATGCCTGAGCATTTTTAAAAGTTTGGGAAGAAATAGATCTGGACAAAGAGCGACACATCATCAGCGCAGAGTAAAATCTAGTTCTTGGTTATGTAGAGTGATGAATCATGATGTATGTCACCCTGGAGAGAGCATTGCCAAGTGGGAGGTAATCAAGCAAAATCAGCAGAGTTTGTCTGATGACTAGGTCTTGCACATTTCTCCAGCTTTATATATATATATATATATTTTTTTTTTTTTACTTCGGAATAGCTTCTGGTTGCAGTTGATCGATAAACTGTCCAATTTCTCTTTTGTTTTTTTTAGCCGACCCACGGAGAACCACAACACGACCGCCAATGATCCCAGTAACAAGTGAGTCCTCTCTGTCTGCATGAATCAAGTGGAAAATAGTTTCAAGTAAAAACATTTACAACATGACTTTCTGGCTTGTGTGTGTGCGTGTGTGTGTGCGCGCGTGTGTGTGTGTGTGTACCACAGCAATCAGTGATCTGTGAATCAGTGATTTGTTGGAACTGTTGGAGGTGAAAGAAGTTCTATATCGGTCTGTTTTAGGTCATTAGTCGTTAGTATGTGCAGCACAATGGAATGGTACCTCACAGAATGAAGGTTTCTGGTTTGAATCCCGGTTTGGCCAGGGTCTTTCTGTGTTATGTTTGCATGTTGTCGGTTCTGTGTTTGCGTGTGTTTCTCCAGGTACTTCAGCTTCTTCCCAAAATCCAAAGACAGAATAGTTTGATTGGAGAATGTAAATTGACTCAGTGTCTGTGTGTCGGGCCTGTGATGCACTGGTGACCTTTCTAGGGCAATGTCTCGCCAGCTTGGATAGGCTCCAGCTCCCCTCTGCATCCTTGAAAGGATAAGTGGTACAGGGGATATATAGCATCAGCAGTAGCAGTTTATTATATTTCTATTTATTATTAGTAGGAGTGAGAGCCCTAATAATTATTTCAATATTGTAGTGCATGGTTTTGGTTTTACTTCCCACAACTCTTCTGTTTGGGCTCATTTTCACAGTTGTCTCTGAAAATCCACTAGTGATGGTAGAGGAAGCAACAGTGAAGTTACATAGATATTAGAAGCAGTATAAGTAGTGTTTGCAGTAAGGGATGCAGTCACGCCCTCAGCTGTATTAATAGATATAAAATGTTGTTGTTGTCAGCTGTGCCTTTCACCGACCTTCAGATGAATGGAAGCTTCTCAACTGCAGTGGTTCTGGAGTCAAACAGCGTCCAGTCAACATCACTTGGTGTGCAGGGCGATCACTCACAGGGTCAGGAGCTCATCATGTCACACACACACACACACACACACACCCACCCACGTGTCTCTCTATTGTGTTGGAGGACACTCATTTACATGCTTAACCCTAACCTAATTCTAACCCTATAACCAAGTCTTAACCCTCAAAAAGCCAATTTATATTGTGAGGATCAGCCAAAATGTGCTCACACTGATGGTATTGAACCAAAATTGGCCCTCATAACTATAGATCGACTGTATTTTACAGCAGCTATCATCACAATTGTGGCTGTTTTTGAATCATTATGAATAATGTTAAAGTGTACATTAGGAGAAATCAGCAGAAATGTGTGAACCTTTGAGTGAATCATGTCTTGAGACTTCTACAAGGCTTTCCATGAATTTCTAAAATTGAAAGCTGCACGTAAATGGAACCTTTTTTTATTCGAATGCCACAACAGGGCAGAAACCTGGATAACGATGGGGGAAATTATATGATCTATTCGTCTTTAGAACTCAAATTACCTTTTAAATTCCAATGCAGAACTGTAAATGCATAATCGACCCACAGGGAAATATGATCCTTTTTTTTCACCTCTTAAAAACGTAGCAACATACCGGACGACACCAGACTCATCCAACCAGTCTCCCAGTAACAGGACGGATAATTCTCACCTGTCCGGCCACAGTGACCAAAGTAAGTTTAACACCGTACCAAGTTTACCACATGTCCTACGAAAGGAAATCTGATCTGTGATGTTTGTAAATGAGCGATTGATGCTTTTAAAGGATAAAGAAATACACGTCAGGACATTCAGTTTATAAACTTCCTATTATAATTTTTGATTTACTTTGTCATCTTCCTTTATTTTGTTCATTAAGTGCTAAAGAGATACACATGGAAGGCTTGGGATCACTACATGAAGCAAATACTGTAATCAGGAGCATACAGAGGGGACATAGGTTTACATTTTGTTTCTTTTTTTCAGGACTTGGCACAACAACAACAACGCTAATTGTCTGCGCCTCGCTGGTGATCGCCTGCACTTTGATCGGAATCAGCTACGCGTGCTATAGAAGGTAAGCTGGGGAAATGATGTGAACATAAAGGATTTAAGAATGAATTACATACGTGTAATTATGTCTCGCTACACTTTCTTTCACTTCATGAATCAACTAAAATTGAGGTAGAACAATTTGTTTGATTCAATGCATGACAATCATGTGTGTTCACTTATGGTTTTAATTGTATCACCGTTTCTTTCATAACTCAGGAGGTCACAAAACAATTACCCGCTGGCGACAGATGAAGAAAAGATGTCTATGAGTACCATTCCAGCTGGACCGGTGTCGTAGAGATTGTAACAGTTTCAAGAAGTTTGACACTATTTTGACACTTAAATGCGAGTTTTGACTTGTTTTTATCCTTGAATCGGATTGGACTATTACAGTCCTATCACAAAGCAGAGTCAAACTGTCCAATCAGAGAACAGGTTGATGAGCTTCCTGAAATGTGGGCGTGCACCGTCCACGAAGGTAACTGGCTTTGCTCTGTGATTGGACTGTCTTTGTCCAATCAGAATCAGGTATAAAAACGCAGTACTTGTAACTAAATGTCATACAAAGTGTGTGAACTTTGGAACACGCACACTTTCATTTTATTTTTGGAATACATTTTTTTTTTCTGAACATCACTTTACAAACTCAAATCTCATCGACCCCAGTGAGCGCTCATATTAACAGCACAGAGGCATAATAATTCAAAAGGTCAACACCAAGGTGTCGCTCTCGTATTGACTCCTGCAGGCTCATTGGGTGTGATGAGGTGAATGACTGATCAGCCAATAAGGTCATAACCATAGACCATAAATAAAGATGGATGACAAAAGTGAAGCCAAAGTGCAATGATAAAAACAATGTGAAACGTCCACACCAGCATCACTACTGCGCAGATTCGGGCTCTAGATGATGTTCTCGATGTACTCTGGGTTAGAGGTGGAGACATGCCGTCCTAAACCTTATATATCGTCTGTTGGTCATACAAGCAAGAACTTAACAACCCTGGTGGAAAATGCTATACTACATAATAAAACCATGTAGGGGTTTTTTTTTTATCAAAGAACTTGTCAATAGCCCCTCAAAATGCTTAAATATAAAGGAAGTGACCTCACTAGAATAACTGGTAGCTACATCCCTGGTTGTGTGTGACACAGTGGTCTTCTGTTTGTTCATGCATGATGTTGATACAGGTCATGACTTTAGGAAGTAAATGTTCATTTACTATAAAATTGAAATATAATAATTTCACACCTGATTTTATGTACACTGTACAACTGAATGTGTAAAAGATATATTTTTTCACTTTTTTACCTTTATTTATTATTGTCACATTGACTAAAGCCTCTGAAATGCGCGCTGCGTCATAGCTGCTTAGTGGCATTAACTCATGTTCTGTTAAAATGCACACATGGCCTTCTGATCATTTTTTAATCTCACTTGTCTTTCTTCCTGTCATGTAAACAGCATTTTCTGTCTCTCAACCTGATTAAGGTCAAACTTGGAGTAAGCAATATTTGACATGTTGCATATTCCAACCTTGGTCACATTATATAGAGATGTACACGTGTGAATGGCATTATAAAGTCCAATTCGATGTTTTGCAGTATTTTACAACATCGACAGTTTGACATAATCTGACTAGTGTCTATAATATTCCACTAATGTCTTATATAATAAGGTCAATAGTGAGAATATTGCTGTTGTCTTGTGCAGTTGAAGAAAATAAAATCAGTGAAAACACAATATGCGAGTGACGTATTAATTCACTTTCCAAGTTCACTTGAAATGACTTCTCCCAACACGTCCAGACATCTTCCTGTTTTATTCTCTTGTCAATCTTCTGCAGACTGAAACCAAGAGTTCAGGAGCTCAAAGTCGAAACAATCTAAACGTGTAATAACATGGTTGAGAATAGAGTGACCTACAGGCAGAGGATGCCACTGTACACACAGGAGTGGAGGATTGTTAATGCTGAAACACGAACAGTGAAATGTTACTTGATACAAACAGAGGAAATAAATACACTTGCAAGCACATTTGCCAGCAGATTAATGTTTTTAGTCGATGTTTGCATGGAGACACATTGCTCCTTTACTGTCAGTCATCCTGAGGATCACTGGATGCCATTGGCTGGAAAATCTCAACTGTACATTATATTAAAAACCTTTTTATCTCACAGAGAAATAAACACAGAGAACAAGATCACGTGGCAGAGTCATTCAGCAGCGATCGCTGGAGAGCACCTTCCCTTTTTACTCTCTGTTCATAACCCTGAACAGTGCACTGAAGGTCACTAACAAATTTTAGTTAACAACGAAGAACGGCTGACCAAGTTGTTCTGGTATTCCAGCCATTGAGAGAACGTCTTCAGTCATGAGGAAGGCTGTAGGTCCGATGCGTATCCACACACACTTTTCACACAGCGGGCCGCCGTCTGACACGCCATCAGCCTAGATACAGACAAATGAGGGAGGCTTTTAAAAAGAAATCAGTTCCCACTCGTCAAACCCCCCCACTAACATCTGGCTTTTGTCTGCAATGGGAATAGACATAATCGAGAGTGATGGAAACAACCAGGTGAACGCCTTAAATGGTGAGACAGCGCCCCTTTTATGAGGGTTTGTTAACATTTAAAAAAAACCTGCTTAAACCTGCTAATATATGTGGAAAAGAGGTGAGGGTTAGATATTTCCTTACACATTTCATCTGTTGTTTGGACATGATGAAGGCTGAGCCTGGCGTGATGCAGTTGGGACAGTTTGTGACAGAGCACGGCAGAGCCTCGCCCTCCTTCATCAGGGAGTTGGGCATTTCCGACTTAAAGAAGTATTCCTGTCGATGATGTGGTGGAGAAGTGGTTCAAAGTTTAGATTTTTGTACAAAAAGGGAACATCGATTTTTTTCTTTTTCCCTTTGCCTCACCAAATAACATACTGCCAGTTTTAATGATCTAAACTTTGTTATTGTGTGAATTACTTTTAGTCTTTTTCTTTTCAGTAAATTTGATCGTTTTAAAACTTTTCTACACTGTAAAAACACAACAAATCAAAGATAAGCACATGTTGGTCTGAGGGCCTGTACACACTCTGGAGGCTTATACTTCTGCAAATACTTCTTATCTGTGATTTTTGCTTAGAATGTTGCATTCTGGACTCTGGCCCCTGCTGTTCCCTCGAGAAGGGCTTCAGAAAGACATCTGTTGGCTGAGTGCAGCAAAGTGGAGACTTTGGCATCAGTGAAGCTTTCCTTGTCTTTATAGACAGATATATCTTTTAATGCTTTCACTCAAAACCCTGAGCTCACACTCAAACAGCCCCTGCTTATGCCAAGATCTGCACTGCTTGAGCTGAAGCTGTTTTTGGTGCTTGGACAGATGTTCTGTGCTCCAGCTTCAGCTCTTTCAAACCAATAGAATGCCAGGTGTAGTGTTGACTACATGTATTGTTGACATTTTATTGACATTTTATTGTATAATAAAGCCCTGGAGGGCAGGAGTGCAAGAACCCAGTTAAAGTAACTGCGACACATAGCATTATATTAGTAGAGGAATTTCGATCCTTCCGTCACCCTACAACATTTCCCTCATTTAGTTGCACACACAGTTGTTCTAGTCAAGGGTCCCAGTAAGCCTGACAGAGAAGCAGCTAAATGGAATTTATTTAAAATTATTATATTTATTATTATTTATATATTTACAGTGGTGCTTTGCCTTCTGTGATGTGCCAGAATGAGAGGCCTGTTAGGACAGTGTGTTGCTGTGAATGGGCTCTTACCCACCAGTGTAACAACAAGGCTTTTCTATTTTAGTGTTGATGTCAGTTAATGTGGTTCAATAATAGAAATGTGAGGTGGATGAGTGTTGAAACTGTGGAAATGGCCTCTCTGGAGGAATCATTTTGTTTCCCTGAAGTGCTGAAGTGAAGTGCTCATCATTATTATCATACAATGTGTCATGTACATTTGACAGGCAGAAGTGACCATGTGACTGAAGTGAGTCAGATGACAACAAAAGACATCACTCACAAAGTGTAAAACAGAAGTGGGAATAAGCACAGGGAAGTCCAAACAGTGAAGTGTTTTCTTAGCTACAGTTTGGTTCCTGATGGGAAGCGTATTGTTAAGATTTTTATGGTACAATTAAAATTTTTTATGGTACTTTCATCCATTCTTATTGGCTCATAACTCATACTGCAAAACATAATTATTAATACTATGTATGTACATGTATGATTACTGTAAATAGTTTTAGTGAGGTCTGATTCACCACATCTGCCATTACCAATCTGAAAATAGCAGCAGGACAGCTGGGAGAGATTGCTCTTTGAACGCCTGCTATCTCATGTTATCATTTTACCAGGGGCAATGTCTTGTTAACAATATTGTAAATCGAATCTATTCAAAGTAGTTATTGTTACTGGCTACATGAGAAGTGAGATGTAATCTCTAAGTAAATGAGATACACTGGTATCTGTGTATGTGTGTATATGTGATGAACAAAATTGAGGAAGCGTTCAGAATGAGAAGTGAGGGACATTGTATGATGTCATACCCCGGCCACTGTGAGGATGTGGTAGACGCTCTTGGTGATGATCAGCGTTGTCTTGGCCCGAGTCACCGCCACATACAGAAGGTTCCACTCATCGTCAGGAATGTTTGCTGAACAGGAAAGAGAAGGAAAAAATATTCCAAAAACTTCCCACAAGAGGGACCTAGACTGAAAGTACTTCTTAGACTGTGTTCAGAATCAAGTACTGGTCAGTACTTGATGCTTTGTCCAAGTTTGAACCATGGCATGTGAACTTTTTAGTCCACCACCAATAATGTTGCCAATATGTTGGTCAATCGTTTTAAACATTAAAACCTAAACACTATCAACGAGAATCTTGATTGCAATTTATTGGCTACATGACACATATCAACAACATCTGCAAAAAGCTGATTTATGAGCCAAAGTCCCTGAACAGTAACCCCCAAAAACACAAGAGACAGGGAGTAGTTAGAAACAGAAACAGATGTATGGGGAAGAACAACAGAAACAAACGCATTTTATATTGTGTAGAGAAGAGTTCTGTCCAAGAAAATACTCACAAAATTTGAAGTTGTGATTGTAGCGCAGATTGTGTGCAGAAGCGGGAACCTTGGCGAAGTCATCGCTGATCATTACAGTGTCGAACTCCAAACCTTTAGCCTTGTGGACTGTTCCAACTATGAAGTCTGGAACATGAGATGAGTGCAAAAAAAAACTGTCCTTACTGCAAAATACTATTACAGGAATTTTAAAGAGGGCTCTTCTGGCAGTAAACAAAGATCACAGCTGTCTGAAGGGTTGGAGATTGTTTTGATATGTCTTCACAGTCCACAAAAATCTGGAAAAACATGCATCTGTGTGAATGTTATAATTCAAACAATTATCTTCAATTATAGCTATTTTCAATTATTAGAGAGCAGACTATCTCTCTCTCTCTCTCTCTCTGTCTCTCTCTCTCTGTCTCTGCAACCACAGCAGAGATCACGTTATTCAAGCGTGTCATGTGCCTGCAAACCTGCTTTGTGAAAGTCTTTTTCGAAGCAGGTGTCCAGTCGCTTCACCAGTTGGGGAATTCGACTCCTATATTTTTCAACGATGTTGACTTTGGCCCCCAGCTCCAAGTCCTCCGTCTGTTCGATGTATTTCTTCAGGGCGTAGAAGGAACTGCGATTTTTCTTTGCAAAGCAGCGAATTAGGCCATCCGTGAAGACTGAGGACAAAGTAATATGAATAACAAAGGTCAGCGTGTTTAGTTCTTTAAAAAAGGGAAATATTAATATAAAATTAAAAGGATTAATTCATGCATGTCCATTTGCATGACTCTTACATTTTGGTTCTTGGTCTGGCTCTTCCATCAGCCGCCAGATGTCCAGGATCCTATTCAGGCCGATGTTTTCAACATTCTGAAGTAGAAGTTAGATCTGTGAGCACTTCATCACTGAGGCCCTTAAAAGTTATCAGTTGTGCATTCAAGTTTGTTAAAACCGGACGATGTTGTAACTCAAACTCTGATCATTTTATGCTGAAAATTACAGAGGTTTCTATGTTTGTTCTCCTATTTAAAGGTTTGGTAGTTGTCCTCACTCTTGCTGAGGGTTAAGAGCAGACTATGTTGCACCTTGAGCCCTATGACACAAATAGTAATTTGTGAATATGGGTCATACAAATGAAACGGCTTTCAATCAACTCATAAATGCCAAGTAAACCCGGCTAAAGGTTGACGACTTTTCATTTTGCAAGTTTGATGAAAAGATAGTTACCACTCAGATAGCCATAGCCAGCAGTCTAGCATAATCACTGTTAGTAGAGGAAAAACTTAGCCTGGAACGGAACTATAGACTGTATATAAAGAGGGATGACGCAACTCCACTTCCTTCCCCTACAAGAAACATTAAGCTGAAATGTGCAAGAAATGGACGTGCAAGCCTCTGTTATCATATAAGTGTCTGAAATGTTTCTTCCTGTCATCAGTAGTCATGACAACGAGAGAGAGACGGTATCTTAACAGGAAGCCAAATACACTCAAACCTTCAGACAGAAATAGCACAAGTGGTGATGAATGTCAAGTGCATGTGTTTGTGTTTTCATCTGTGAATTTAAATGTGATCTGATAAAAGGACTGTTGGACATACACTCCAATAAGTGCCCTTCAATTCTCTCTTTCTATGCCTGTCTGTTTTCATACATACTCACTCCTATGAAGTGGATCCGGCAGTGCGGGTTGACATCTGTCAGGCTGACAGCTGTAATGAACACACCGTAATTGCACCTCGATAAGATGGCCGTCTTCCCCGGGTAAGGACTTCTACCCGTTCTCACAGTCTCTAAGACCTCGACTGCAGTCTGGTCGCACACACCACCTTCAGAATGGACAGATAGCACACACACGTCTAATCTAAACTATATATTCTCTTATTATATCAAGTTTAAGAATCACTGAAATCGTGTCCCTACATTTTCAAGAAGAGAAAATATTAAAAGGCCACCATTGGCCGATTTTACCCTTCTGGTTGCCTCCTACGAGAATCTTCTGGACTCTCTTACACACTTTGAGGATGGTAGCGCCCACGTAGGCGATCTCCGCACCGAACCGAAAGCTCTGGAACACGAGTGCCACAAAGGTTCATTTTCGTGATTAACCTTAACAATAATAGTGAATATGGTGATGAACAAACCTTTGGAACAAACACTTCACTCAGGATCATGCACATAACTTAATATATTCTGTTAAGATGAATACATTCAACAATAATATCACAAATATAGAAAAGAATTAACAGAAGTTACTGGAACAGCTGCATGCTGGAGAAGTGGTAAAGAGGCAGTTGTATTAAATTGTCAAAACATGTCAACATTTTGTGCATTGTCGCTGATGCCCCATTAGATGACATTATGCTGTTCTACTCACGGCAGAGATGATTCACTGGACCAATTTCAAACGTTTTTGTAAGTACCATTCATTTACACACCCACATGTATTCATCTATACTTCTCTTATCTGCAGTGCGTATGCGTTTACCTGTGTCAGGTAGTAGATGTGTGTGTGGTCAACAACATGCAGAGCATTGACAGCTCCTCTGAAGGTGTAGATCTGCTGATGAGGATCTCCGACCAGGATCTTCCCACACTGCTGAGACAGCAGCATGTCCATAATGGCTGAGAGGGAAGAAAAAGAAGACGTTATTCTAACGAAACACAAAAGAAATCCTGCTCTTCCGCAATCCTGCTGGTCTGTAACTGTTCTTTATCATTACCTGGAGTGCAGTCCTGGGCCTCATCGATGAGAAGGACATCGTACTGGTCAGACAGGCGGGGTTTTGGGAATTGGAGCTGCCATAATTTGAGATAACCTGTGAATGAAAAGCTTCAGTTACCATGTGCGAATTGTTTCTCTTCATATTATTGAGTTATTTTATAAGTCTTAACAGTTGATTTACCATCATGGGTCATGTAGTATGCCTGATCTCTTTTTTCATTGAGATCTTTCATTTTGTTCCAGATCTTCTGCGCATCATGGACAACCAACTAGGATTTCAGAATAAGACAGTTTAAATCTTGTAATTTAATATGAAACTAAAAGGACAAAGTTGTGTCAGCTCTATGCATTCATACCAGTTTTTCATCAATGCTTATAATTGTCTTTTTGTGGGTGTCGGGGACATGGCTGGTGGTGATGGTCGCGTCTGCTGAAGCCATAAATGTGTTGAGAGTCGTGGTCACCACTTTGGCCTTGGTAAAGCCGCCTCTGCCTTTAGGCAGCACAGAGCTGATGGTGAACGGCTTCAAGTTAAAGGTCAGCTTCTGATGATTGCGATACCTGATGCACAAGCACAAGAAGTGAAAATAAAGAAACCAGGTCAAACAAGTCAAAGATAATTCTGCTGCTGCGCTTGTATGTCACACTGGATATAAGTGGACAAACAGTTATCCACAGAGGAATGGAGTTTCTTTTGTAAAACATGCTACAGTTTGTCTTTATGAACACAAACATCCTAAATGTATGACTTCTTCTAGAGCATCTGAGTTCTCACATCTGCCCGACATCATTGAAGGCCAATGAGTGGATGGTCTTGCAGTCTACATTCTTGGGGAAGCGGCGCTCTGCCTCACATGCCACCGACTTATTGAAAGCCACATACAGGAAGCGGATGTGGGGGCGCTGCTCGGCATACTTCACCAAAGTGGTCGTCTTTCCTGTACCTGCGGCAGACAGCACTGAAGATAAGATCTGTGAGGATGTGATAAATCAAACTCACCTCACTGGCACTGACCGAAACGTATCGACAACCTTTTTCACATCTGCAGGCAGTTCATGTGTTTCAATGACACATTTAAGCCTTTCAGACTACCTGCTGGAATGTTACCAGAGTTTGAAAGACACTTTCTAACAAAACACAGCTGATAAATGTCTGCAAAACACCATGATAAGAAATAATGAAAACAACATATATGTCTGAACCAGCTATTCAGAAAACATTGGAGCTGCAGCTCAAAAAACCTGTCACGATTTAGAATCATGGGTTGTATGAATAAACTGTCTAAAGGAAAAAGAATGCCCCCTGGTGATGTTTCAGATGTTGTGTAATTCAATTCAATATAATATGTATACACACAAATATGCTGTGTAATAATAATAGAGATAATTCACTTTGAATTGCTGCAAAATTACTTTATTGGTATTTTTGTGTTTTCTTAAAATGCTTCTGACTCTACTCCTGCAAATCCACTGGTCAGTGAAACCAATGTGAGTGTGTTCTGTGAGTTTAAGGACTGCAGAATGTGGAGCAGTGACCGTCACACCACCACCAACTCCACGTACCTGCGAAAGCAATGATCTTGACCACATGGTCGCCCTGGATGTTGTGACTGAGGATGTTCTGCTGTTCACAGGTGAGATGAAACTGAGGCCGCCTGGCAAAAACACACGCACACAAAAAATATTAAAAAACTAAACCGAATATCCTTCATATAAGTATTACAAGTTGTACTTCAGTCCTTAAAAAGCCTGCAGTTACCTTAAGTTCAGACTTTGAACTTTAATAGCATTGACAACAAACCAAACAAAACATGGTGAGTTCAGCTTTCTAGGGATAAATGTTGGTACAATCAGAAAACCAGCAAAAGCAATAAGGCTTTAATTGATATGTACATGTTGTAATCTGCATTAAGATCATTCAGGATCTGGTCAGGGCTTCAGTCATGTTAACATCAAATATCTGAATGTGAACTTTAACTATAACATGATCCTTGGTGTCATGGGCTATTTTTAAAACTTGGGATTTGAAAGGGTTTGAAAAACACACTGAGCAGCAGGCAAACCATTACAGTGGTTAAAAAATGTATAATGAGTGGCATTTAGGGTTGCTGCGGTAGTCAGGCACATACTGAATATATGATTTGCCCACAGGTCCGAGATTGTTTCGTTTTTTTTATAAACATAAAACTGGAACACAAAAAAATGTTGTTCATTTCTATTTATCAATGGTAGCGCTCACAGTCATCGTATAAGAATCTTTAATTTGTAAAATACTGGTTAGCCGACACTGCAGACATTATGCATAATAAACAAAGTAGGATTCACTTATATCTCAGACACAATTTTGGCCCTCACCCATTCTGACTGGATCCGACAGAAAAGGGCCCGTTCTCCATCAGGTGAAGCACGTAGTAGATATTGTAATGCAACCTGAGGAGGCATAGAAGAAGAAAAATCATGGGGAGGATGACATGAAGTGATGAAGAATGTGAGGAGATGAATGGTGACACTGTTTTACCTGTTACTTATCTGGATTTTACTTCTCTCTAAAGCCAGCAACATCAAAGCCATGTGGTTGAGGTACTCTGTAATCGCGCTGTGCGACATGCATCCGGAGAGCAGAGACACCAAGTCCTGCACGTCACCAACACTTTCACTTAGGATCAATATGATCGCCATGGCTGCACATGGGTTGGGACCCTGGAGATCATACATGAATCATGAAGATTGTGCATTTTTAGCCAAGTCTCAAAGTTGTCATTTACCCCTTATTTACATTTGAATCACTCGATCTGGATCTTTATTTCAATCCACACTTATCTTTTTCTTCATCAAGATCCATGAATTATTCTCTGAGTAATTTATACAAATGTTAAAAATGTCCTATCTTGCAATGTTAATGAGGAAAGAACAATTCTGAATCCAAATTTTTAATCGAAATCAACACCAATTCATTTACGGGTTCTTAATATCACATCCTTCCACCGAATGTCATTGTAATACTAGTTTTTTGTGTAATACAATTACAATACAAACCAACCTTGAAAACAAATGGACAGGGGTGAAAATATAAAAGCTGCCCTGATCAACATTAAATCAAATACTACTGGCATAAATCAAATAATTAACAAATGTCAAAGTTGTTTAATCCGATTCAAATATAACATCTGGACTTGTTACAGTGCAATTTGACATTTCATTAAAGCCACTGAATTCACCTACTAGTAGTCAGGAGCAGAATATTGCAGCATCCTATTTTCCACTTAGTAAAACCTCTTCATGAACTCACTGAAGTCCATGTTAAGTGACTGTCAGAACCATCTTGCTGTCGTTTTGTTTTGTGAAGCCTCCCACCACTTGGGGGAGTAGTGCCGCTGTCAATGAGGCAGAGGTTAATGTAATCAGGGGGGGTTACCTGACACAGGTGTTGCTGCTAAGAAGCAAACAGTGTTGATCGTGTGGTGATGACTGTGAAGGGAAGGTTTGATCACAGAGAGAGTGGTGCTGCTCTTTTTATTGTTCTGCAGATTGTCAGAAATAACTCGTCCTTTATTTTGCAAAGTGGACTCTTTCTGCACGCGTCTCAACAATTCATCCTCAACCGTGGTGGCTTCTTTCGATTAGCGAGGTCTCCACATTAAGTGAGAAACTACTTCATGGAGGACAGCGTTGGGTTCCTGCTGTGGACTGACTGTGTTCCCGGACCAGCTGCTGTGGCCTCTCAGCCTCTCCTGCTGCGGATCACGCTCGGGGGGAAACGTCACTTCAGAACGCCTGCATGCAACTCCAACGCCAAGGTATGTGTGGCCATTGTTGTAACCGTGTGCACGCATAACTTTGCGCGTAAAATGCAATGCATTGGTGGTGACTGTATAAACAAACCCGAGCGCGTATTCACAAAGCTGAACTTGCGTTGTTGACTATGAAGATTTGATGGGTGATACAAGCTATGTACAAGAGGTGAAAGGTGCATTTAAAAAGTATAATGTTCTCTGTGGTCATGTAAAAAAAAAAAACATGAAATGTGGTCTAAGGTAAAAATGCTCAGTGGCAGTCACTTTATTGCTGATGTAAACAAATTGTCTTGCAATGAAAGTTGCCTTAATACGGAAGCCCTAAAGGGTCATACATACATACATTTTATTCCACCCGTTTTCCCGTGATAACGAAATAATTAATTCGAGATCTCGAGAAAACAAAACATATTAAATCATTGCAGGAAACATCATTTAGTGTAGCAATGTACGGAAGAGAACGGCCCTCGTGATAACGAGATATTTTTCTCGTTAAATATCAAAAAAGTCTACAACATCATCTGCACGGCTTCAAGTAGAAAAGGCTGCATGGCTGAGTGCTGCAGCGCTACAGGACACGTTTTGGAGTAAGTGGAGCCACTAAGAAAGGAAAAGGAGCAACTTGAAACTGAAATAGCAGCATCTACAGCAAAGTGCCTCATTTCATGGCTGTTATGAGTGATTCAAATGCACATTCAGATGGAATCATATTTCAAAGAAGGAGCACTCAATTCTCATGCTGAACAAAACAACCCAGAGCAAAGGATCATCTCAGCAGAAATATTGTCTGCCAACGCTCAGACAACAGTGGAGTAAACAGCAGAAGCGGAAAAATATGAATATAAAAATTCAGCTATGATTATAAAATCACGTCAATCAGATTCAGATTCTGGTGATCAGCAAGCAACACATTCACAAAGTCATTTTCAAGTACCTGGAGATCTGTACAGTCTGTTCCAAAGACAAAATGAAGTAACGGCATGGACACAGACGTCCCAGTCTCCACCACGCAGAGAAATTCCTGTTTTTAATGAGGATCCTCTACAATTTCGATCATTTATCGGAGCTTTTGAACATTGTGTGGAAGCTAAAACAGAGGAGATCGTTTATCATCTGGAGCAATTCACTAGAGGGCAGCCTAGAGATCTGGTGCGCAAGGCAAAGTTACAGCAAAAGGTGCAGTTCAAAAGAAACCGCTTTGCAACTGCTGTCTTTATGACACAAAGTACGTCACCTACAATCTTAAACATTGTTTCCTGTTTGTATTGTACCCATGGACACCATTGGAGCATTGTCCACAATTGAGAAAATGAATGCATCGGGAAAAATTGGACTTTCTGAAACTGGACACAGTTGACACCACATCCGCCTCATTTTGACACATTGAACATTTTCTACACCTGATTATACAAGGAATTGAGTGTTTTGTTTACGTGTGTGATTTGTACCTCAAAGCCATGGTTCAAGTACTTCTGGATATCAGGAATATGTAATCTGATGGAGGCCTCAGCTTGAGGAAAGAGGCGATGTTTCTTAACAGACACCAGGACGTCCTTGGGACTCACCCCCTCTCCAATCTTATGCTGAGCCATTAAACTGAACAACACACAGACACAAAGTCAGGATAATTATCACAGTCAACATTTCAAAACATATGCCAGCCTTCCTGTGCTTGTGCTGAATGTCTATGGATCACTAAATAAGGGTCAGATATAATAATGCTTTTAATTTTTTCAAATTTCTACACAGATTTGTGTTTCTTTCTACAGTTGCTCAGCCCTTTATATCATTTAAGTAAACAATTGAAAAAGCTGTTTGTTAACACCCATTTGAAAGTTGTGTAGTGTGAACTTGGCTTAAATAGACTTACACAACGAGGTGTCGTATGCTGTGCTGTGACAATGCTGGATCCGTTATGCCGCTGTCCCTCAGGTTGGACAACATCTCTCGCTCTGTATCCTTCTCTCTCATCATGTAGCGGTAGTATTGTTTCTTGAAGGGCAAAAACTAAAAAAGGAACGCACAAAATCCAAGTTTATTTGGTGAGATTCACTTTGCCTCAGAGTTTAAGACTGGACAGAAAGTCATGTTTATGACGTAGGAATTGTATCAAACACTATTTGTAAGTCAACCATGTAAACAAAGTTTTTTCCTGATGACAAAAAACCTGGTAAAACTCTTCTTCTGTGGTGAGCATACACATGCTTTTTAGACTTAGTTGCAGCACCCGAGGATTTTTGCACAGTCCCTTATCCGACTAAATGGAAAAGATTATGCTGAGAGTTTCTTATGACTCTGAAGTGAAAGGAAACTACCTGTATGTAAGAAAAAACGTTTTGGTGAAATTTGGGTTTAAAAATAAGTTGTTTGAGATTTCAGAACTAAACAATTACTTATTGACAGTCTTCTAAAGTGTTGCATTTTGGGTAGTTTGCACCGTTAAACTTCTGTCTATCCAGGGAGAGTTACCTCACTTGCGACCCCTTTGAGGTTTCCGCCTCTGTTAAGTCTTGTTTTTACCAGTGTTATTTCATATTTCAGAGTGATCACACATGAAAGTGAGGGACAGATTACTTCGGAACAAGCTCTCTTCATTTGTGAGCATATTTGTTTCACTATTATTCTTGCTAATGCCTGAGTGTATGTGAAGATGAACTTTAGTACAACTCTGTGTTTTGTTTAACCTTGGTGTCCTGGACAATGCTCCTCCAGTGCTGGCAGACGAGGCTGATGCTGCGGTAGAGGTCCTGGGCAGGAACGTAGCACAACACTTGCCTCAGCACCTCCTCTGGAAGGTCATCGATGCAGCCCTGGGGCTGCAGCAGGACCTTGCTGCTGCCTACAAGCCCATAGTGAGCATCAGGAAGGGCCTCCACCTCCTCTTCCTTGTTGTGATTGTCTCTGTCACATATTTCAAAGTCATCATCTACCCCAAACATTTCCGCCGTCATTCCCTCCAGATAATCCACCTTCTCCTCAACCTCTGGCACCCCCACAGCAGCTAGCAGGGAGGAATCGTCAACCTCCTCCTGCTCCTCGTCCTTTTCCTGAGACTCTGAAAAGTATGCTGCAGCAAGGAGGCTGACGTCGTCAATCTCATCAAACTCTTCTTCCTCCTCTTCCTTGGGCTGAGGCTGTGAGACCATCCCTTGAGAGTGAAAGCGAAAGGACAAAGATCCATCATTAATTTTATGACAAACACAAACAATTGTGAGTGGATGAAACAGACCATCCTTCCTGTTTTAATTTTACAATAGGTGTAATTAAAGTGTCATTACCACACTTCTGTCGCTTGTTGGTTGTTCTGGGGTAAAGCCACCTATTGGGGTCACAGTTGCCCTGCCCCTGGTTCAAGGTGTGGGGCTGGGTAAGGGCATTAGTGCCCTCTGCGCTCTGTCCCAGTTCATCACACTCGTTTGTGTTCAGGTGTCTCCTCTTGGCCTTCGCTTGGAAACCAAACCACACAAAATTCAGTAACGTCAGGACACAACAAACGAACATATTGGGATTGTTCCTACATACTGTCAGCTCCTTATTCATATATCTACAATAGTGAACACACTGCTTAGTTAGTGTATAACCCAATAACAACAGACCTAAAGGTATTATAGAGACACCCAACACATCAACTCAATGTGGTGAACAGAGGATGAGCGCAGTGATGAAGAGGACGAAGAGGAGACAAGTGGTGAAGAGAGGAGGAAGAGTGGTGAAGAAAGAAGGGACTAGCGGTGAAGAGGAGTGGTGAAGAAAGAAGAGGAGAGAAGTGGTGAAGAGGAGTGGGCGGTGCCAGAAAAGACAGGAAGCTTGCCATTGTCTTACAACCAGAAGTCCTTTGTTTACCTTTTCTCCTCAACACAGGTGAACATTCTTTCAGAACCAAACTAGGCGGTGTGAATGTGAATGCTGTTTAAGTTTGGTTCATTCATTCATTATGAGTAGACTTACCTTTCACAGCCACCTCCATCTTCGGGTCGAGCAACCATTTACACAAAGCCAAGCTGAAACAAACTCAGTCTCTCAGAAACACGGGTCGTTCGAGGTGAGGCTCCATGAAAGTAAACAGTGGCTGATGCTAGCTCGTTTCCCCAACAAAATACACAGCTGTGACTCGCACCCGTTGGTTTTATCAAATTAAATAAACACCATAACCGACGCGATGTGTATTTGTGAGAAAAGTGTGAATCTAATTCTAAGGTAAAAGCTGCGGTTCAGAAGTTTGAGTCGCGGACGAAGAAGGCACACGATTGGTCCGCGACTTCTCCTCCTTCTCTTCTTTGAATTGTGTTGGCGAACTAGCTTCAGGGCGCAGTATCGCCACCTCCTGGACCGGAGTGTGATGGCAGAAAACTACACTTCAGTTAGTTTCTAATAAACAGTGTGATCCCCAAATAATAGTCATAGTATGATATCTCGAAAGGTTTGGTGCGTGTGTGATGGCAGCTTTATGCTAAAACTAGGGCTGGGCAACACAACAATTTTAATAATCATCACAATATGATTTTTATCAATAGCACTATAACACAATTCTTATATATGATAGATTACTTTATTCACCCCTAAAGGGAAATTAGGTTGTGTAGAGATATATATGGTGTAAGCACAGTGAGGAGTTAGTGGCATTCTATGCTCATAAAGAAGAAGAGTTTAAAACCACAACCTTCACTCAAGAGTAAAAATAGAAAAAGGTAATAATGTGACATTTCATTTGTGAAAACAAAATCCTGGAACTGCCCCTTTGTCCAGATTCAGGCCGAAGTTGTACAGGTTCTTTCTTGACTTAAATCCTTTCGTTCCACCAAAGTTTCATGGAATTCTGTTCTGTAGTTTTTGTGTAATCCCACTGACAAATCAACCAAACAACAAGGACAGAATCCCACAGAGCATATGCAGTATGGCATTTATTAATTCGTCCTTAATTCCTAGGTTAATTACAGCATCAAGTTAATTGCACCGTAATGAGGTTAGAGGCACATCACAGAATATTTCCTTTTGGTCAGCTATTGATTTTATCAGCACAGTACATCTGTTGTTCATTTACTCTGGAGTCAAAAGAAAAAACAAACCAATCTCATTTAGTTAAAACTGTTAGTAGTCCAAAATATGTAACTTTTAATACCGTTAATTATTACAGCAGTTATTTTGTGACTTGACATCGACTGATCTGTTAAATGTTTGTATCCAAATCTTTGACTCTTAAGAGACTTAGACCAAAACCTTATTTGCAAAGAAAGATGAATATATCAAACAAATAACCTGTTTTTAAGTTTAGATGGATTGAGGGGATTTTTTTCCTCCATATATTCAGCAAAACATCTGTTAGCGCGTGTAAGGAATGTTTCACAATTACAAGATTAAAAAAATCCTATCAAACTACTTGTAACCTCATAAAAACCTGTAAACAATTGTTAGTCACTTAAGGCATACAAGACTAAAGCCTGAAACATATTCCGCCTTCAGAGTGCAAATACTCAGGCCACCAGATTGTAATTGCAGCCTCACTGTGTTTAACAGTACCTCCTGAGAGCAAACAGTGGTCCAGGACATGTAGCGTAACCAGGGCTCCTTCATAGGCTCGGTTTCTTAAACCAAGGCTTTTTTAAGACTTTGATTTTGTGATTTGATTTCATAAATGTGTTTAACTTCATTGCATCTTCTCCCATGTTGCTGTATGGATGGTCATTACATGTCATAGGAAGAAGTATTAAAATACTGTGTGGTTACATGGGGTCTCAAGCCACAGTTCAAGTCCAATTCCTCATGATTCCTTATTGGAGTTTGGTACAATCGTTTTCTTATCAGTACATTTTCAAATTTTTCCAGTCCTGTGGAGGAGCCCTGTGAATTTGACTAAAGGCGATTATTCTTCTTTTTCTCCGGGTCGTTGTTGCTTCACTGCTTCAGGACAGGGAGCTCCCTCGGTTTAAAGAAGGCCTGAACCATCCCCATGGCAAAGATGTAAACTTTAGCATCCACCACAATTTTCTCTTTCTTCAGCAGATCTGCAAAATCGAACAAACAAGTATGTTAGCGGTTTTTGCGATGGCGTGCTTAATCCTGTTGCTCTCATAAGTTCTTTGCTAAAAAACTGAGGTCTCACCGTCTATTTTCGTCTGGAATTCATCAAGAGGTAAAAGAATGACTTCTACAAATTCTGGAGAGAGAAGTTAAAGTGGTGACGATGTGTTATTTTTTGTTTTATGAAAGAAATAAGATGAATTCTGAAAAAGTGAGAAATGGAACTCACCTCCATCACCTGTGGGAGAACAAAACAGAGGATGGTTAATATTACTTGTAGGTTAAATGCAAACAGAGCCAGAGAGTAACAAGTGTGAGAGGATGAAGTGTAAATGTTTAATGAAAGAAGTGTGCTCTGTCTATTCAGTGTGTAGCTTTTTATATTATTTTTAAATAAGTGTGTGAGTATTCACGATAAATGAATCAGTGTGTGAATGTTTGAGTCCTGCTCACCAAGCTGTTGCGTCGGGTTGATATTCTCCATGTCGTCTCCGTTGATGTTCACCATGACCATTTGAGTGGTGCAGTTAGACAGCCCGGGGTCCAGGCAGGTCACTACGATTGAAGTAATGATATTATCAACGCACACACAGAGACTTCTCTAAATTAAGCATCAGACCCCTGAACCTGAAAACATACAAGAGATAAGATACAAGCAGGAGAGGCAGCTGATAAATCAGGTGTTCAGTATGTCTTTGTGTGGTGATACCTGGGGTAACTCCCGCTACTTCGCCTTTGTAGCCGGTTTCTTCCTTCAGCTCCCTCAGGGCAGCAACCTCCGCCGTTTCCCCCTCGTCGATCAACCCTGAGCACAGCAGACACAGAACACTGAAACCTATAAACTATATAGCATGTAAGGATGGTTATCAAATGACATCTGCAAAAGTGTATACTGTAGTATGGTTTGTTGTTGATCGCTGTTTGATATTGCATTATGTGTAAATATGTTCCATGTAGATGATTGCGTGATGGATGAACGATGGAGCGTCCAGGTGAGGGGGGGCGTGCAGGAGGCATGATGTAAATTCTAAATTCCGTAGCAGAGATTACGTTTTTGTTTACAACACATCCACAGCAGCATTGGCTCTTATCATCAAAAGCTCTTGACATCTTTGTCTGTGTCTTCTACATGTATGGCACCACTGAGATATTCATATTCTTTGTTTCATTTTTACATCTGTCGCCTGTTAAACATCGCCGGGAGGATATCCTGCTGTGTTCTCGCCTGGGCTCATTCAGACATTATCTGCAGGAGATTATCTGGACTCTACTGAATGTCTAAAAGGAGCTATAGAGACGTTCTAGGCAAATTACCCACTGCGACCATAAGCTCCTACTTATCTTATCTGCTCAGTGTTTGAGAAGCCCATGTGCGCTTACCAAACAGTGAAAGTCCATTTCCCAGGTCATATTGATCAAACAAATGTCCATGCATGTGAGGGGAAAAAAGGCTGACCTGCAGGAAACTCCAGAGAGCAGCATCCCAGAGGAGGACGGAACTGCTTCACCATCACTACACAGTCTTTGTGGAGAGTCCGTTTCAGGAGGGCGATGATTCCCACACCTGCAGGAAAATCATGTTAAACTCCGAACAACTCGTTAAAAGTCGACCAGCCAGGGAAAGAAAAGAATAGTGCTTCACCATCCGCTTCTGTGTTGGTCTGCCTCGTTGTCCTCTTCACAGTCTCCCAGATTCTGGTTGAAGGAAAACAGGGAGTGAAAGCAGCACAAAGAGAAGCACCTGTCTTTTCTAAGTGTTATTAGTTGGGTTATAGAGAGTACCTGGTGTTCCCAGCTGGGTCCACGTACGTTGTTTTCTCCAATTTCACCCATTTCCCAGCTGCTATGAGCTGGAACACAGAGGGCAGCATGAAGATGCTGAGCTAGGACGACCTGAGAGGTATGAAACCCAAGCCCCACCATATCTTATTGACCTCCACCCCGACACTCCGTCCCGAAAGCTGCGGTCTTCAGACACAGGCCTGCTCTCTATCCCCTGCACCAAACTGCAAACCTTTGGAGCCTTTTGTGAAAATGGTTTTAACAACTCTTTCACATTTCTGGTCTACAACATCATCTTGTAAATGTTTGTATCTACTATAAGTACATACTGTGTAATGTAAAGACTGCATTTTAAAAAGTTGATGGTTACTTTGATTACTTATTCGTGATAGGGCCGTGTGGAAGCAATGACAGAGAGAAATCAAGCAGCAGCATCTGACTTTTTAATCCATGTGGGGAAACTGATCAGGTCTGATTGCACCGTTCCTCCGCCAGTTCAATGAGTGTGAATGTGAATTGTATAAACTATTGTCAGTAGATAAAGTTTGATTCAGTGGAGAGATCAATCTTACCTCCTCCTTCACGGTGTGAGGGGTTGTGGTCACTTTGGGCTCCTCGCAGTTGCTCATTGTTGACATTAGGACGACTGTAGAAGACAATGCGAAAACTTGAAACCTGAATAAGACACGAGTTGAGATGAGGATTCAGTTCCAGCCACAGCTTCCAGGCGGTGGAGAGCTTTGTATATCCAGGCTCTGGTCGAGACGTTTGTGATCATGTGTTGCTCAATTAGCTGCTGCCACACAAGAGTCCACTCTGACCGAGGGGAACATGGACAGTCACAGCTACACTTAGCTTCTCTGCTAGCTGCTGTCTGCTTTACATGACACCACGTTGAAGCTCGAGTGTTTGAAACTGTAACTTTGAGGGAAAATGGAGGAAAACAATTAAAGTTAACTCACGTGAAACAGCAGCCGCGCGTTAGTGGAGGTGGAAGAGATGTACAGAAGCACAGATGGGTCACTCCGCTAGCACTTCCGGTCCGTCAAACATCAGCCAAGTTAAGTTTCCTGAAGGACTGCGTTTATTCCTTTAATATTTATTAGTGTTCATTATATCATATATTAACTAAATAGATTATGAAACTACACATGTGGCGTAATGATACCGATGTTGAGGAATGATTAACGATAAATTAGCAAAATATTGTTATTTGAGATAAACAAAAAAATAAATGATAATTATTCATGTATTTTATTAAATCCTTATTTCATGTTTAAATAGATTATCGTCCTCTGTTATTGTCTAATGAAACGGAGATAGGTTTGTAGTTTTAAGCAGTAGCAACTCTTTCTCATAGACGATCTATGTGAAAATCAGCGGGTTCGCTTCAATCACGCCTCCGTGTGCACCGCGAAATATCGTCCCCGCCCGAAAACACCAATTCACCGAAATGTTCCGGCAATAAAATCAATTTTATTGACTAAATTTACTATTGGAATATTAACAAATTAAAAAATAGGCATTACAGTGTTAATAAAATCCGACTTTTTCAATAAAATACCGCAGAGAGCCTCAGGAGAGAATAAAATCAGCGGAGTCGGATGATATTTACCGATGGACACGTTTTCATTACAGGATATTGCAGCATGAAGAAGGAGCAAGTTGTCAACTGTCAGTTTTCGGTTTGGTATCCGATATTCAAGAAACACACGATTAAAAGGTAAACAGCCTCAGTTTGTTCAGGTCGACAGGAACAACTCTTTCTCTCTCGTGTCAGTGAAACACGTCTCAGTGAGCTAACGTTAGCGAGCAGCCAGGAAGCTTTGCAGCCATGTCTGTCTCCACGGTCTTCATCCTGCACCGTGTGTCACTGGATCTCTGGGTTCACACCGGAAACCTCGTTATCTCTCCCTCTAATCTCTGTTGTTCAATATAGTATTGTGTGTGTTCTTCTTGTTTTTCAGTCTGATTCTCCCACTGCCTCAGAATGTAATAGAGTATTTACTGGACGATGGGACACTGGTAGTCTCTGGGAGGTATGAGGACACACACACAAACACACAAACATTCTTCCAAGCTGAAGCAGATTTCTGCTGCTCCTTACTGTGCTTTTACAAGTGTGTAATCCAGTGAAAGGGATTTTTAGCAGAAATTGAATACAAAATATTCCTAGTGGTGTTTTCACTGGTGTGTTTCATCTAAATTGTATTAATCATTGTTTTCTTTATCATAGAATGCCTTTATATTTACAAACGTTATATTTACATGCACGGGGTCCTCTCTTTGTCTGCAAAATTCTCTGTTGCTTTCTCTCGTCTCCAGTGACCACAACACACAGCAGACACACACGAACAACAACGACTCGGATGCAGAAGAAGACATTCAGGTAAAGAAACAGAAACGGAGGAGCTTTTTCCACCTGGAAATGGTTTCATCCTTCTCTTGTTTTTTCAGTCATTGCATCTCCAGCTCACAATTTGAAAATATCTTATACTTGGTTTCAGCTCCTGTCTCTTTAAGGTTCCCTCTAAATTAACTCTCTTGGTCAACTGTATTTAATTCACAAATTAATTCTTCGATTTCCAGACTGAACTCTTAAAAGGCCAAGATACAATAAGCCAGATGCAGTTTATCAACTTTAAATTGGACTTAGTTGTAAAGATGGACACCTTCCACTGAAACCAGACAGAAATCTGGAAACAGGACATGTTTTTAAGAAACTAAATCATTCATTTATCCTGAAATATTAGTAAGTAAGTTAATGAATACATTTAAAAATCTATTGTATTGTCTGAAGTTGTCAGTTATTTAGACATTTATTAAAGAGGAATCCAATCATTTTTGTGAATTAGCTTTCTTGATATATATACATTTTTCTGTCGGACACATAATCTTAAAGCATCGACAGTTTAACACTTTTTAAAATTATTTTTTAACCTAATCCTGTTTCTTGTTCTCTGCTGCCCTCTAGTGGTCAGATGATGAGACAACCACCACTGTCACAGTAAGGACATCAACTGTTTCCTATTACAACAATTTCAATACCTGAAACTAGTGTTTTCTGATTACATCTTCTCCACTGTTATGGTGAAGTGTGTATGCTTGTGGCTTCTACGTGATTTAATCATGCATCAATGTCTGTGCCTGCCAGGCTCCTGAGTTCCCAGAATTCACCTCGAGAGCGCTGGAGGCAATAAACGCCCTGGGTGGCTGCGTGTTTCCTAAACTCAACTGGAGCGCTCCTCGGGTATAACACTGCACGCTGCTGCTTTATGAAAAATTGAGGAAAACACACAGTTTGCTCTCCTCAGCTTCAGAGAAGTGTTTCACTGTGACCTGTTCTTTTATTTGCAGCTTAACAAAGCACTGAAGCATAACATAGCATGTACGTGTGTGTCTCTCCCTCTCCTCCAGGATGCTAACTGGATCGCTCTGAACAGTTCCCTGCAGTGTAACAGCCTCAGTGATATTTTTTTGCTCTTCAAAAGTTCAGACTTCATCACCCACGACCTCACGCAGCCGTAAGCCTTGCTACCCAACAACAACAATACACACACACACACTCTAACACCCTGGCTTACTTTGCATTTACAGACCTCTTCACATCCCACTGTGTTCCATATACATTTTGATTTTAATGGCAACTTTGTCTATTGATCTTCAGTCGATCAATAATGACGGAGCTCAAACATGCGTTCAGGTCAGATGTGTATACAACTTGACTGGAGTCCACCTGTGCTGATGGGACATAGCTTACAAAGTCACTTTTCTGTGTATATCAGGTCCCATAATTCCCTGTGCATGTCAGGGCAAAAATCAAGCCATGAAGTCTGAGGAACTCCCGGCCTGACACTGAACCAAAGTATATGGCTGTGACCCAGGGTTGGTTTTGGGACAAGTCTCTGACTGTCCTTCAATTGTCCAGCCAAAGCTTGGACGTCAACCCCTTAAATCTTGCGGAGAGAAGTGAAGACGGCAATTTATAGACTATTTTCATCCAATCTAACAAAAGGAATGTGATAAACTGCCCAAACCCTCATGTGCAAAGTTTGTAAAAAGCCAGAGACTCAAAGCTGTAATTGCAGCCAGAGGGATTTTTACAAACCACTGAATTAAAGGTCTGAGTACTAACTCAAAAGATGGAAGTGCGAACATGGCAGTTTCATCAATTTCAAATTAAACTTACGAAACAATTAAGTGTGCCAAAAAACAGGCTTATCAGAATCTGCAGTAAAACCGAGAGGCAGCTGAAGAAATCGCTGCAATGTCGATTTAAGTTTCAGGCTCCTTCGCTGTGCTCGACAGACATTTACTGCAGCGAGTGATGTAGTGCAGCACACAGCCTCAAGAAAGCTGTTTGTGTGATAGATGCTGGTGTTGTGGACTTTTTCTATTTGAAACTTTCCCAGAGATAAACAACAGCTGGGTGGTCGGCAGTCCTGGTTTGGAAGAGTGTTGGGGTCCGGTATAAGGGAAAAGATGAGAATTTTGACAATAAGGTTGAAGAGTGACTGACAGCTCACTCCTTCAACCTCTTCAACATTTTAGTTTATTTACTTTTACCTTTGTAATATGAATTCATTTCATTTGCAGATTCCGTCACTGTAGTGACCAGGACTCCCCAGATCCTGCTGTCAACTATGAGGTAATTAAAAACGAACCATATATATATTATATAACACATTGTCCCAATTAGTTTTGACTTACTTTTATATATATGTATTAATCTTGACCTGTGCCTAAAATGACTTAGTGTTCCATCATTAAGTATCACTGTGTATAAAGTGGACACATGCACACACCATCACCCCGATAGGTTTTATCACTCGTGTCTTCTTCTGTCCTCAGCTGGTCCTGAGAAAGTGGAGCGAGCTGATTTCTGGTGGAGAGTTTCGCTGCTTCGTCAAAGAAAACAAACTTATCGGTAAAAACCTCTGTTCACACTCACATCGTCAGTCACCACCTCATTTCGAGACGGTTATTAAATTCAGTTTCAGCTCACCCGATGCTGTATCTGTCCCGTCTCTCAGCTATCTCCCAGAGAGACTACACTCAGTATTACCAGCACGTCTTGAAGCAGGAGGAGCAGATCTGTCACGCCATACAGGATTTCTTCAGCCAGCACATCCAGTACAACTTCCTGGACGAAGACTGTGAGCACCAACATCCTTTTCTTTTATTTAGACTCTTTCTATAAACTCCTTTTAACTTCTTACTGTCATGAAATATGTTAAACACAGGATTTTGCAGCTAGGAGTCTCTTAATCTAAACCGTTATAACAGATGGACAAGTTTGGGATTATAGGAGTTGTTGTCCTCGTCATCATTGCTGTTATAGTGGTCAGCTTGTTCCGCTTTAGTCATGGTCACACATATGCAGATGAGAAGCGAATATCGCTGGTCAAAGTTGAACTCCACGCAAAGCCAGGTGGCTGATTTCACAACTGAAACATTTGTGTGACTGTACAGGATTCCTTTAGTGTTCATTAGGTTTTTATTTTATTTCTTTCCATACCGGGTTGTCTCTTTTTCTCTAAAAAGATTTTGAATCTAGTAAAAACTAAACATGAAATAAAAAATCGGTAGTTCTCTAAAACTGCTCGGTGGATACAAGATGTCTCGGAGCGGCTGCTGGATGAGCTGCCGTTAATGTTTGCTGTGATTTTAAAATAGAATTTAAGGCGTAATTAACAATTTCTTCAACTTTTTACTTTGTCTTTATGAAACTAGTTGATGTAAATATAAATGTTAAGTTATTGGATGTTCAGTGATGAATACAGTTCTCCTTGTTTTGCAGTTGTGTTTGATGTCTACAGAGACAGTCAGGTAAGCACTCTTATGAATTCTGTTTTAGAAATATATATGAATAAACACGACCCTTGCAAACCACGTTTTACTCATTTCATCTCGTGTGTGTGTCTCGCAGGGGAGGGTGTGGCTGATTGACCTGAACCCGTTCGGAGAGGTGACAGACTCGCTGCTGTTCAGTTGGGAGGAGCTAACTTCCGGAGAAGTCGCCCACCAGCAGGTCAGCCATCACCAAACATCTTTTATGTCAACAGATCATTGTCTTTTTACACA